AATACTTAAATTAATCTAATAATGTTAAAATAATATCTTAACTATTTATAAAAATCAGATAAATATGATAAAACTAATTTAAATTAAATTAATATCTTATTATAAATATAATAGTATATCATATAAAATAATATAAAAAATTATTGTTATTATTAAACTAATTACAGTATATTAAATTATTAATAAAACTTTTTTTTTTAAAAATTAATGTTATTGTCAATTAAGTTTGTAAAGCTTATAATTTATAAAATATAATTATAAAGATAATTATCAAACAAAAATATTTATAATAACAATTCTGAATAACTATTAAAATAAAGTTAAGTAAATGTGTTTATTATTATTTAAAATACACAATATCTATATCAATAATCACAACAATCAATAGTACTGAAAATAAATACAAATATTGAAAATATATGTTACATACCTTTATTGTTAAGTGTAAGATTATTTTAATAAAATGTTTAATATAAAACAAGTTTACTAAAAATATATTATTATCAATATTGAACTTATAGTTTGACTTTAATAACGATATATTACACAAAAATTTATGAAAATTAATTTTATGAAAAAATATTTTTGTAAATTAATTTTGATTGAAAACTAAGCAAAGAATTTATAAAAGTTAGACAAAGATAAGTCTCTGTGTTTCAACACAAACATTGAAATGTTTAACAAATATATATTTTTACTGCATTTCCAGCAAATGATGTGCCGATTCATTGCATGCGCACCGATATTGTGCCCAAAAGTGTCATTAATTTTATTAGTGTTGTAAGTTTTGTAAAAATCCCATCCCATTCACGATCTAAAATCTGCAAATTATTGTATTCAGTCTAATCACTATTAATTTTTATATTTTATTATTATTATAAACTAAATTTATTTAATTTACAATTAGAGTTTGATAAATAAAAATATATAATAAATTTTCCTAAGAAAAGTTCTTTTATTGTAATATTCATTTATCTTTATTTTATGGGAATCCCAATATTTATTGCAATACTGTATTAAGGATACATAATATAAACTATTACAGTATTATACAAATAAGATCTTAACAACAAATAAACTTAATATAATTACTAGATTATAATTATAGTTTTTGTAAAATTTTATTTATAAGTCAATTATATATTTTTAATGTAATTAAATGAGTTAATCTTTACTTTGAATATTAATTAAAATACTAATAACAATATTTAGTTATTATTTATAATTATAATTTATTGTTTTAAATCAACATCTCACAGACAGAAACTTATTTTAGTAATTTTTAGTTTTTGTCAAATATATATATATAATTTTATTAAAAAACAAAATTCAACAATAATTAAATAGTAATTTGTATCTTAAATTACTTATTATCAATAGTTATTTTGTCTTTTTATTTGTATGCTTTACAGTATATCCCGATTTTTAATAAGCTTTTTAAAAAAATCTATTTTGTATTTTCCTGTTATTCCAATACAAGTCAATACTATAAAAACAAGAATATTCTTTTCAAAACAAATTTGTAAACATTTATATTAAACTGTCTGTTGAATCATAAATTTATATTCTATTTTATTCTAAAATAATTTATGTAATAAATATAAATTATGTAAAAAATTAATCTATAATAAAATTCAATTTAATTACTAAATATAATAACTACTCAAAAAATTTTATGAGTATTTTAATATAAAAAGATATTTATTAAATGTTTGTAAATTTACAACTGAAAATATTATTACAGTATAAACTCGACATATTATAGTTTAGTTTGTTATACAGTTTACATTTATGAGTAAAACATAAATATTTTAAATTAAGATTTAATATAAATTTTTTATGTCTACAAATCATTATTTAATATAAAATATTTAATTATTTTGACAAGTATTTAATGCATAGATAAAATGTATATAATTTATATATTTATTACATAAACAGAATAATTTAAAAATTATATTGAAAATAAATTATATACATTTTATCTATGCTTAAATACTAAAATCATGAATATTTAATCAATTGTGTGAATGTTGATTAAATTATAGTTAAAATAAATATTATACACACTATTATAATAAGAATTATTACACTTAATTAATTTTTAAAAAATTTATTTGTGATACTTGTCAAAATAATTATTGATAAATATTTTATATTAAATAATGCTTTATAGACATAAAAAATTTAGATTAAATATTAATTTTAAATATTTATCTCATACCGAACCCACACAACCTAACTGATCGACCAACTAATCAATTAGTTGTAGAAGAGTTTGGGAAGTCCTAAAAACTAACAGAACTTAAATTTCTACAAAACAACAAAACATACAATTATTAGTTTATGATAAAACATCTACCGATATATAGTATTGTATTTTATTTTTAAAATATGTAAATCTTTCTTATTTTCAAAATATTGTAAAAATAATTTAGTTACGGTATATATGTAAAGACAAATTATATTTTATTAAACTTGTTATAAAAAGTTTTATTAGTTATAAATTAGATTTTATTTTTGATTAATTCACTAAAGTTAAAATTTTCAAAGATTGTAAATTTATAAATTAAATAATATTTAATTAATTTTAGAATTTAATGCAGTTATTTTTAAATTAAATTTCAATAATTTTTATGTAAAAAAGCCGAATGACATAAAATGAATTATCATTTATTATTTAATTTTGAAAATATTTAAATATATATAAGTAATAGTTGTTTTATAATTATGTTATTAATCTAATACCACATACCTGTGTTTAGTGAAATAAAATACAATTTTATTATATTTGTAATATTCAGGTGTAAATTACAATCTTTAATATACAGCACTGTATATACAGTACTTGGATATGTAAATTAAATTCAATATTATAAAATACAGTATAATCTAAGTTAAATGGTTTGTATAAGTGTATATTATATAACTCATATTGCAGTTAAATACTGTATTTCAATAGATTTACTATACAATAGTCTATACTATAGTGAATTCACTGGAATTTTCTACAATATATTAGTATACAGTAGACTAGTATTAGTCTTAGAGTAAATCAAATTGAATTTTGCTATTAGTTTGTAACTACAAAATTGCTACAGTATTTCGATAAATCATTAATTAAAAATAATATCTTAACAATTTGTCAAACTATTATTAAACACGATTTATTTGTTTGTCAAATGCAATATAAAGTATTTTAATAGTTATCTATAAATTACTTTATGTCATAAACAGATACAACTATTAATGAAAATATAATATTTGTGATTTCAACTAATATTATGTTATTTATTTTGTAGTTAAATAACTTTTTAAAACTAATAACTAATATTTAAATTTTCATAAATGACACCTCAAAAATAAATAAATTATTTATAAAATAATAAACTTTTTTATAAAATTTATCTTAAAAAACTAAAATAAAACAAATTAATATTTTTTAATTTTTGAGATAAAAATTTACTGATTAACTAAATTATTGTTTCAATATTATAGATTTAAAACATAAATTATTAACAACATCAGTATCAAATACATATAATTTATTATAAAGTAATAATTTATAATAATAATAAGTTACATAATATATTATACACTAATGCATCATATACTGTAATATTTATTATAACATAATAAATTTAAGTATTTCTATTTTTTTCTTAATTAATAATTTATTTTAAGTTAAAATATATAGTTATTGTTTTAAAATAAAACTAGTTTTAAATATAATTTATTTTGTCAGAATAATGGTTTTAACTAATTAGTTATTGTTTTTTCTATGTTTGTGTACTATATTTACTATAGTTTTGAATTTATGCTAAAATAAGCATGCTCAAGTAAACTATTATATTATCGATTGATATATTTAATATTTTATTAATATTGTGTACATTGAATGCTAAATTTATCTTATGTAGTTTTGAGCTAAAAGAAAAATTTTCTTAATATATGTTATACAGTATGTTATATAATATACAGTGTATCTGTTTATAATGCAAATATAATACATATAAATTTCTATGTAAACTAATTTTGAGATATTTTTAAAAATTTATTTTTCAAATTCTAAAAGAATATTTAAAAAGTCTATATCCCAGTCTATACCCCCTCTAGAATCGAAAACTTTGCTTAACCTTAATATAAATATTCAATTTTATTTTATTTATACAATAAAGAAATATTTAGTTATGCAACTGGTATTCATACAAATCCAATTATTTACTGTAAATATACATATAATTTTAATAATTAATTCATTTATAATACTATATAAACATAATACCATTAATATAAAAAATAAATTTTAATTTTAATAGTAAAATGCTAAATTTTAGAAATTAACAAAAATTATAGTAGCCTCAGGCCTTTTACATAATTTGTAATATTTTTTTTATTTAAAATTATTGTATATTAATCTTATTACTTATAATGTGAAAAATAAATGTTTTCGTGAAAACCTAAGAAAATCCTTTTATTTTTTAGTCCTATTTTTGTTACTTTTAAATACTAAAAGTTATGTTTTTAATAATAATATTTAAGTTTATAGTATATTTAATAATATAATATTAATAATTTATATAATTTATCACAAATTTGTTATTACAAATTGTAATTTACAATATTTATTATTGTTTAGATTAGTTAATAAAATGTTAAATTATTTTTAAATATTTTTATCATTTATTAATATTTAACAAATTATTAATTATAAAAAATATATATTAATTTTATAATACATAAGTTATGTAACATAACTACAGTATATAATCTTTAAAATAATAAAAGTATTTATAAACTAATTATTAAAATTAAAGGTTTTTGGGACTTAGAAAACATAAATTTATGAGAAATAAGTTTATATATTATAAATAGAATACACAATATATTTAAGTTAATTTTACAATTAAACTGTTAATTCTTATATAAATATATTAAATATTATTATAATTTTAAAAAATAATATAAAATTAAATTAATATATATATAATCAATTATATTTAAACACAAGAAGAAAATGTCTTTTTAACCACATCTCTAGCAAATGGTATGTATGACAATGAATACCTAAATTTAATAAATGATAAATATTTGTAATATACCTGTATATACAATATTGTTAATTAATTGGTAAATGCATACCATATGAAAGCTATAAATTGCAAAATACAGAAAATGATAGCCAGACCAGTATTATGCCACCAAAGACCAGCCATTAGAGTGAGAATCATAAATAAAATGACAGCTAATGTTGCAAATATACGGGTCATTGCAAACATATTTCTAAACTGACGTATCGGTCCCATCAGAAACATTGTACTATAATATATAAAAAGTTAAAATAATAATTTTAGAAAATTATATATTAGTCGTATGGTTATGCAAAAGTAGATTACAAACAAACAGTAAAAGGGTAGAGGATTTTTACCACCTCTAAGATTAATATTTTTTCGATTTTTACCCCCCGGATCTTTTTACCAAAATCGTAAATAAAGTGAGTTAAAAATTATATTTCTTAAAATTTAAAATAAAAAAGTTTGCTTAACCATGATCAAATGATATAATAAATTATAAAACAAACATAAAGTACCTGGCCATTGATATAATGTTTCCCAATGTATAAAACAAAGCAAAAAGTACCAGTCCTTTAGGTAATGCAATACACGCGCCACCGATTATTGACATAACAAACCCTAATATAAAACATATGACAAATCCCTGTAGTCTTGTGGACCAACTGAGTGATGGAAAGAATGATTCATTCTATAAATGATTTAAACAATTAGTTAATCAATTGTTTAAATGATTTAATAATTTTATTTACATTTTCCGATTCTTCATTATTACCAAAAGTTCGTCTCAAACTATCCATAGTTTTATTATTAATATTAATATTATTAATATTTAATAATAATTTAACAAAAACATCAATCAAAATGTAAATAAAATATGAATCATATATTATATTACAACCATTTCTAGTCAATAATATGACGGACATCTAATATTGCATACAATTGAATGTCATATCAGATAGTTGTTAGAGATACCAATAATTTTATTTTTGTTTAATATATTATGTTAGAAAAATTTGCGTATAAATTGAATAATGCGATAACTTTTAAATTTGTATCAATTTTATTTTTATTACTTATTAATACATAAAAATTATTTGTTTAAACACATGCTTTAATTTTATTTGTTATGAGATTATGACATTAACTTAATAGCATAGTATGTATGTTAGATAATTTGATTCAAATAATTTATTGGCTAATTAATTCAATATTTACATCATAGGCTATTATTATGATAATTAATATAATAATAGTTGTTTAAATAAAAATAAATTACATAAATAATAATATAGTGTCATATGAATAGCAATATATTTATTAAAATATGAAAACATAAAAATGCAAATATTATGACATTAAGTATTACAAAGAAGTTATTAAATTATAATATTTTAATTGTCAAAATGTAAATTAGATCATGTATTTTAAATATCAATATTAATATTTAAATAAATAAACATAATATCTATGAAACGTTGCCTTTAGTTTAAATTAATAAAAAGAATTTATTGTATTATAAATAATTGTATTAAAACTGAGATTAAATAAATTGGAAATATATTTAAACAATTGAAACTATGATTAAATCGTGTCATTGGGTTCTCAAATAAACAATTAATGAATTGAAAAAAGAGTTGATATGAAACAAGATTTTTATGCTAATCCTTGAAGTTTTTAAAAAACACAAAACAACTAATATGTGAAATAAATTTAATTTAAATATAAATTGAATCGTTTACATTGTTATTCAATGCCAATAAATCAAAATCAAAATTATTTCATTTTATAATTAATTAACTGCAAAAAAAATAATTAAAAACACTTCACATTTCAACACTTAACCACTTAGTGTAACATAAAGTACTATATTATACAAAATGATATTTCAAAGTAAGTTCACATAAAATTTCTACAAATTACATAATATAATATAAATTTATTTTTAAAATAGTGACAATCTTTTGGTTTCTAATATTTTGTTGTGGTTTATGTGATGCCTGTCCTGACCCGGAGCTGTTATCTCCCTGTACTTGTGAACAACTGGATGTGACAGTAATTATGTGCGGAGGACATCAACCAATTGATTTATTATCAATATTTAAGCGGTTAGGCGACAGTTTAGCCCATCATATGCGCCACTTTGGTATTTTCTACCTGAGCAATACTGCCATCAAATGGTTGCCAGCATTTGTATTTCAAAATCTAACTTTCCGTCACATGTATTTTGTAGGCGCCTTTCAATTGCAATATATAGATCCCAATGCCTTTATTGGCACTCATTTACACATTGAATACGTGAGCGCTTGGAATACAGATTTGAATTATTATATGATTGCCAATGAAAACGATGCTTTCAGTCGACTAATTAATTTGAAATACTTAGATATTGTCGACAATATGTATTGTCCGGATCAACATATAATAGATCCCTGTTATTGTAAAGTTCATCGACGAGCTATTGGATCACATTTCCTGGCGATGAGAGACTCATATTCAATACATTGCGATAATAATAAACCCTATTTTGTTAAGTAAGTTATTATTACTGATACTACAGTATTTTATTGCTATAATGAATATAATTTCTATTATATTTAATATTTATTGAATTGACGTTAAATTTAGACAAATATTTCAGAGGATTACAACTCAAGAACCCATATGTGGCCGACATTTTGATAATTTATTTCTTGATAATCACTTGTGGACTAATTATACTGATATACCTGAAGATGCCTTTTCTGGCATCACTTTTTCAAACATATATCTTCAAGCGTGTAATGAATGTAATAAATATAAGCTAACAATACATCCAAAAGCTTTCGGGAAAACTCGTCTTTTTGTGCAATCATTGGTTTTCTCGACTAATATCGACTCAAAAACTACTGCATTTCGCGATACATTTGTTGCCGTTAATAGTCTGGTAAACGCCAGACATATAGCCATTAACGCTGGATTTGACACTTTAAGCGCACATACATTTCGACCGGTTGTGTCATCAGGTCCGGGACAGACCAAACTTAAAGCCATAACAATAAGAGGACAAACATTAAAACGTATTGAAAGTTATGCCTTTTACTCGCTAACAAACCTCGACTTCATTGACTTATCTATTAATAAGATTGAAGTGATTGAGAGACACGCTTTTGCCTTCAGACAGATGAATCTTAAACCACTAATAATTGATTTGAGATCTAATAATATGAACAGTAATTCTCTCGAAAGGGAAGCTTTTAGTCATATTTTAAGACCGGTTGAGTTGTTATTATTTTCTAACCGAAGCCAATGTTCACAAAAATTTCAATATCTCGATGAAGATATATTTGCGCCATTCTTGGCGTGTAATACTCGAAATATTGTTCATTTAGGTCCCTGTCCTCTCATTTGTGATTGCAATATGAAATGGTTGGTCGACGCACCCCCTCATTGGAAACTCCAAATCAGAGGCGGTATTGAAAATAGTGCCGCAATTCTTGAGTGTATTGACGGCAGTCTACTATTCTCTAAAAAGAGTCAACATTTTGGTAATTGTGTTGCAGATTGTGATAAATCTGAAACAATAACTAATAGACCCATTCATTCAAAAACAATCTGTAATCGCAAATATACTTTGACTTCAAATATAATTTAATTTTAATTACCGGTATATTAAAAAAAATAATTTTCATTTTTTTCAATAATTTCTAAATATTTTGATAACAATTATCAATATAATTCCATATATTTACAATTAAAAACTATTTGTCAGTTTCAAAATATTTTAATCTATAATTAAAATAAAATATATTTTATTTCCAAATATTCCATTATAAATATATTTTTAATAATTTTTAGTCTACAGTAATTATTTAATTTTCTTTAATTATCTAATAAAATATTTATATTTTGTATAGTTAAATATACTATATAAATATTATATAACAAATCTAATTGAACAATTGGATAAATAAACTTTTAAAATATAAAACCAAAAAACTTTACAAAACATTTAACAGAAAAATTACAATAAATGGTTTGTGCAGTGTTTATGAATAAATTTTAATTTAAATACAATTATACTGTAAAATGTAATACAGTATATATATAGTACTATAAAGACATTTATAAAGAAATTAAAAAATATATTTTCAATATTAATATTATAATAATAATACTGTAAGTAATTATGAGTATTTCAGCTCAGATACCAGTTTCTAAACCCAATAGTTGTTTGCAAACTTCATAAGTGCTAAAAGAGACGGCAACCATAGGTACGGCTCGGATATAGTTAATACTCATTCCTCGATATAGACCTCTGGCGACGCCATAGTCTTTATAAGTGATATTCAATGTCTTGAGAAAACCTTCGGAAAATTTTTTTGTCTCATTGCTTGTCATTGAAAGTTGCATTCTTCTGCGGGCAACATCTAAAGGATAAACAATGGTCTGTCCAATAGCACCGGCTATTCCACCGCACAATAGTTTGCTGGGAATGTTTAATATGGTTTTGCCGTCCTTTTCATAGCCACATATTGTAGGCATATATTCAACGGCCAAATGTTTAAGTCTCTCAAACATATAGAAATTGCAACCACCGTATGGTATCATTGCTAACACTGTTGGTGTAATTCCTCTATAAAGGCCGACAATTCTGCCCTCATTTTGAAATACATAAACAAGTGTTCCCACTATAGATGTGGGAATCTTAATGCCATCCACACCAGCGTGACTCACATGAAAAGCCAATCGGGCTCTCACTAAATCCAATGGATAGGTCATCATAGCTGAGGTAACGCCAGCCATAGAACCGGCAAAAAACTTGAGGGAATGGTTCACTTTTCCGGACTCGGCTTCCCTGAACAATATTGACAGTCCTCTCTTATATATTTCAAATGACATATATTGAACGGCAGCGTATGGAAAGATACGGACCATTTGAGCGCCATTTCCTAATTATAAATTAATTACTTTAAGTATAAATAAATTATTAACAATAATATATATATATTAAGTGCAAACCTTTATAAAGACTAAGAAACTTTTCATTTCTGATGATAGCTCTGAGTCCTGTGAAGACACCGTACTCTTTATAATGAATGTTATGGACCTGCAATAGGATCTTAATGCGATCTAACGGCGCCACTGCTGTTTTGGAGGTCATACCAGCAATACCTCCGGCCAGAAATGATTTGGCCATAAATACTGGATTCTTCAGATCTGATGAACTCATTATTCAAATGCTCTTCAATTTACTATTAGTGTTATAAATAATTTATTAATTATTATTTATTGATTGTAAGAAAATATATAATTAGACCAAAATTAGATCTAATTTTTTAATAAATAAAATAATAATTTCATTAAATCTCTTAATAATGGCACGAGTTATGAAAACTTTGATAATTATAACTTTTTAAATAATCAATTTGTGATTACCGGTAATATAATAAATAAATATTTTTATTTTTTAAATTTAAACCACTTTTTAAACTTAATTATATTGTAATATAAAAATGAGATAATAGATTCAAAAATATACAATTTTTTTTTTAATAAATATAAACTTTAAGGTCATATAAACATTACATTTATATAAATTATATAATAATAGTAAAAATTTCAATGATTATAATGAATTCACTAAAAATCATGAATCCATTGAAATGACTATAATTTGGTTCACTATTTTGTTGGCACTTATTATTATAATAATAATATTAAACAAATATTTAATTGTTAAAACTTTATAATATATAATAATAAATAATTTGAATAAAATGACAATCAATTGAGCATTAATTACAGCATTTAGTTATATATTTATAATATGAAAAATTTGGCAAAAAGTCTAACAATTAATACACAAAATGATAGCTAATAATAATGAATGTATTTTTGGTGTATATTTGGCATTCAATGACTGGTTATGTTGAATATCAAGTGATGACTTCGTCGATGAACTGGTCCTACAAATTGAGGTCAAGTGTTATGTCAAAAGTGGTATCAATTGATTGACTCCACACTTAAGTGTTTATGTATTAAACACATAATACTTATAAATGTCTTGAAATAACAGACAACCGGTTGAGAGGACTGACTCACAGCGCACGCGATCTCCAGTCATGACTTTAAAGCCATCAAAACAAACAACTGATGCCATCAACAGCTGATTGATTTAACAACAATTGATTGTTAATTGGTCTCAAAGTTGTTGTTATCACTAAATTGTTGCAAACGTTTGTTGTTTGACATAATGTTATGACACGTGTATCTCTTGTTGTCATTTGATTACAATAATTAAAAACTATGAAAATGTCTGTCAATAGCAAACAATACGACCAATTGGTCACTAAATTAAATCATTTGATTGTTAGCTTAAGTTTGGATGAGAAGAGTACTCAAGAGTTGGGCACTGATATCAACGATACCATCAAAAAGTATGAACTTAAAGCCAATGCCATCAAAGAGACCACTTGTGAGCTCAAGAGTGTTGTCCAAGAGTTTGATGACAAGATGTCTCAAATGACATCTATTTTAGACGCTGTGTCACCACTTCTTGATAAATACGAAAGTTTAATAAAATTAGATAAATTGTTGTCCGAATTGTCTACCATTAAAAAGATACACAAAAGTCTTGAGATGAATGTTATTAACTGCAAGACTAATAAAGATTTTGAGACAAAAGTGACTTTAATTACACAATCATTCAATCAAATGGTCGATTCATACAAAGATTTTGAAGATAACCACAAAAATGATGTAATGAAGAATTATTTATACGATATTATAATCTATTGGAAACCAATTATTTTGACAAAATTAAGACAAAGGTTTGCCGACACATTTGAGTCCATTGATTGGCCTCTAATTAACACAAATAAGTTGCAGAACCGATCAAAAAGTCAGTCATCTGAAGCAATCAATACCTTTCTCTTATATTTCAATTCATTACTAATTTTTGACATTCAATGTAAGCGATTATCACCGCAAATAACTACTGAATCGGAAATTGTTTTACCTATTGATGTAATGGTAACGCCTCTGAAGAAGCGATTTCAATACCATTTTATGGAAACCAAAAGCAAACTCAATAGACCTGAAAAGGTAAACCAATTTTTTATTTATCGCTAATAATTTTCAACAACAAAATTTATACTACTTTTAGCCCGAATGGTATTTATCACAAACTCTGGTATGGATTCGACAAAACAATAACTTCTTGTGCGAAACAATTGATCCACTATTACTTGACATGAAGTCAGCGACCGATTTAGTTCCGGCGAAATTTCAACTAATTTCTGGTTTACTTGAATGCGTGACAACAAAATTAAAATCAGATTTGCCTTCACTTGTTTACGACGACAAACTATTTACACATACTGTCGATGAAGTGCTTATATTTAATCGGGAATTACTAGAAATTGAGTCCAATATAATTCAAGTCTTTCCTAATTGTAATTTAATGAATGTTTTCTCTTCTGAACCATTCTTTACAAGAATTTTGTCTTTGGAAAGAAAAAAGTCAACAGAATTTGTTGAACTTATATTAGACTCAAAATCTGCTTGGAATGAGATCTGTGGTCCTGAAGGCAATGATGAGCTGAAGATATGTGAATGTGGAGACAATTTTGTATTAATGCTTCAGTCGGTGACCAATAGATGCTCTTTCTTTACCAATGAGTCACTGAAATATGCTTTCATTAAATTACAACTCGAAATGTTAGATGATTTTCGTTTACGACTCATCCAATTGCTTCATACCAGTGACAAGTCTTGGCCATTAAGTCAACGATACTTTGCAATCATTAATACAATTAATTACTTGATTTTTGTACTCAACGAATGGAAAATATTACCATTTTATGTCCAGATATCAGAAATATATTCACCAAATGAGACAGTCTTCGATCAAATTATAGGACTCTTACAACACGTTTTGAATGAATCAATTCAACAAATAAAAGACTTATTTTTGGATCAATTAAAGACTGGATTGCAAACTTATGCCTCAATTAAATGGTTTTGTCTTAAATTGTTTGACAACAGTCTCAGTTCCAGTGCTTCTCAATTATTACATTTTATATCAACAAACTTAGTATCGTTGCAAAAGTCTTTATCAATCTCTTTGTTTGACAAGATTTCACAAGAAATGGCACAACAATTGAGTCGAATTTTAGTCGAAGATTTGGTTCTCGAGAACTCATTCAATGACTTCGGTGCCAAACAACTCGATTACGACATAACAGTCGGATTTTTGTCATTGTTTCGACTTTACTTAAGTCGACCAAATGCCGAGTTTGGGCCACTTATCGATGCCGTAAAACTGGTTAACATTGAAAAGGGAACATATCTTCTATTGAAAGAAATACTTAGCGATAGAAATAAGACAAACGAAGCAAAAATGGCTTTAAAAGAGATGTCCGTTACTATGATATCAACACAAATGGCACTAAATATTATACAAAACAAAATTTTTGATAAATAAAAGTCTTATTAATTTTATATAATTTGAAATAATATATATATATATATATTAGTCAATACATTGCTTTATAAAAAACTTTATATAATTTTAATACAAATCGTGTCAGTCTATCATTAAATAACTAAAATATATAGACATTAAATAAATAATTGTTAATAAAACAAAAAATTAAATAACAAAAAACGGGTCCGAATGAGTCAACTGGGCTAATGTCAAGCGTCTATTCACGGGTGCGAACCCACTACTGCTCCACGCGGGAACTTTTGCCTGCTGCGTTTCCGCCCTGGGCCAGTCCGCTCCTCATTAGTCAACCTGGAAGGGCAGGGCTCCCCCCGCACCCCCATATTGACGCAGAGCTTAGTGACGGACACCCGATCAACATAGACGACAAGCCACGAGAACCCCCAGTCACCACACATCCACCGTTTTATGCCTTCCAGTCACTGGAATTACAGGAGTGCGCCACTACTCCCGGCATTTATACACACTATTAATACTCATATCATTCATATTATAGATATTATAATTCAATACATAGTGTGACACCTATTGTCACAATTGACTTGACTTTAAGCGTCAAAACATATTATAACTTATATTAATATTGATATGAAATTTAGTGCTAATATTATATTGAAATCAATGATTGAATAAAACGAAACCCATGTGTGATATGTCTAACCAAACACTCAAAGAAGTGCTTTACGAGAATCTGTTGGCCATTCTGTCGGCCGATAAGGACATCCGTATCAATGCTGAACAACAATTCAAACTATTGGAGACCAACGATGGTATGACATGACATGATATGTTGATTTGTTGCAAGTGTTTAATGCAAACCCCAATGATCTGATCTGATCCAGAGTTTGGACTTCATTTGATTGAAATATCACTCAGCGATGCTATTAGTCTTTCCGTACGACAATTATCTGCTGTACTTCTTAAACAATACATTGATAGCCATTGGACGGCAAACAGTGATAAACACATTCCTCCGGTTGTGTCCAATGAGATAAAGACCACAATAAGAAATATTTTACTTAAATGTCTGGCAAACAAATTGAGCCAAACTTCAGACGACAAGAAGTTGCGGTCATCGCTGGCTTACGCAGTCTCTACAATAGCTCACTACGATTGGCCCGAGGAATGGCCTAATTTGGGTGAAGTTTTAATCAGTTATCTTTCATCCGGTGATAGTATAGCAGTTCACAGTGCGATGAAAGTGTTTGTTGAATTGAGTCACGAAGTCGTCGACTTTCAGATTCCGTCGATCGCACCGTTATTATTGCCAAAGATGTATGAAATATTTGTTTCTTCACAACAGTTCTCACTAAGAACTCGCGGTCGAGCCGTTCAGATATTTACAACTATCGCTGAGACAATCGCACAAATGGGTGATTTAGACAAAAAGGCAATTCCCACTTATTTGGGACCAATATTGCCACAAATGACTGAAGCACTTGTCAAAGCATTGGTTGTTCCCGAAGGCAGCCCTGAAATCGATGTCGGAATCAAAAAAGATATCATAAATTCTTTGGCAATATTGTTGAGGAATTGTCGCAATGAAATGCAGAAATGGATGCCACAGATCTTAGAGCCAGTTTGGCACAGTCTGACCACTGCTGCAAATATCTACGTAAAGACTGTGATTAATGTCAATAGTTTTGAATACGAGAGCGAACACGAAGAGTATGCAGAAGTAGTTGATTCAGACGGTGAAGTACTTGGGTTCGAAAGTCTTGTGTTCGCAATATTTGATTTCGTCGGTGTTGTCATCGAAAGTCCAAAATTTCGAAAACTTGTGAAACCAGTGATGAGTGAACTCTTATATTATGTCATAACTTATATGCAAATCACTGACGAACAGGCAGTTGTATGGATCGACAATCCGGATCAGTTCATTGAAGATGAAGACGATGACTCTTATTCCTATTCTATTCGTACGTCAGCATTGGATTTAATTCTATCGATTGCTCAAGAATTTGATGGCCACGAGTCGTCTAAAAAGATGGAAGAATTCAAGGCTTCATTTGTTACTGCAATTAACAGACATTATAATGAATCAACAGAATTGTCTAAACAGCAAACGCCATACTCTAGGGTTTGGTGGAAAATACAAGAGTCATGCCTATTAGCACTGGGATCTATTGCTCCTACTATTATAGAAACAATTCAAAGTGGTTCCCGATTAGCCAATGGTTTCAATGCTATTTTAGAAACCGTTTTTCGAAGTCCTCACGATGTCTCACCATTCTTGTCCGGCCGTTCTCTATGGACTGCTTCAAGATTTGCAGAGATAATGAATATCGAGACTTTGAATTCATTTCTTCAGTCAACTGCAAACAGTTTGATGGCTGAGTCGCCTGTAATCCGGATTTCAGCAGCAAAGGCCACATTTGTTGTATGCGATCACATAAAGTCCACAAATAAGACGTCACTTATTAAGCCTTATTTAGGATTAATGTTCGATGGATTGTTGGCTTTTGGCACCCGATATAGTACCGAAGTTTTATCACTTGTTTTAGAAACTGTTTGTATATTAATATCAATTGATAAAGAGTTTACCGCTAGTATTGAGAATAAAGTGGCGCCGTTAGCCATTGCAACGTTTCTCAAGTGTTCATCTGATCAGCTGTTGATAGCCTGTGCTCAAGATGTATTTGCTGAACTGTGCAAGAATGAGCAATGTATTGTGCCATTACAACAACGACTGGTGCCAACATTAGTATCAATACTTCAGGGACCGCATGGAAATGAAACGGTATTGGCATTACAGCCGACATCCATTGAAATATTATTGACAATTGTCCGCAACTCTCCAATACCATTGTCCGAAGCGCTGATAGATCGCGCTTTTCCAGCACTTATAGCCTGTATTTTAAATTCTGATGACTCTCCAACTCTTCAAAACGGCGGCGAATGTGTCCGCGCATTTGTTGTTAAATCAGTGGATCAGGTGTTTGCCTTTAAAGTCGAGTCAGACAATCAAAACGGATTATCACTTGTTTTAAAGGTACCGTAATTCTAATGTATAGATTAGACCAGTTATTAAATTTGCATTTACTATAATGTTATATAATTGGTAGGTCTGTCACCATCTATTGGATCCACGAAAGAATGAGTCGTGTTCTGCATTTGTGGGTCGATTGGTGACAGTTTTAATAACTCGTGCGAATCAATACATCGGACGCGAGAACTCACATCTTTTACTGCGCGCAGTATTAGTGAAACTACATATCGCTGAAGCACTTTCTGTAGTCGAGAGTCTGATTCTTGTTTTCGCTCATTTAATATATTATGATTTGCCAGCAATTCTCGAGTTTCTGTCCTCATTGCCGGCGCCAACCGGTAGTCAATCTGCTTTAGAATTTGTTTTAATAAATTGGTTGAATAGACAGCACCTGTTTTTTGGTAGTTATGAAAACAAAGTTTCAATACTAGCTCTTTGCAAACTATTGCAGCACTCAATACTACATCAAACACAAGACTCAAATTTAAACCTCAATTACATGACAGTTCCCGGTGATGCCATATTATCTGACTCAACATCACCGGGTGTCAAGACTCGCTCTAAGACAGCTAACACAACTGTCCAGTGGTCAGTTGTTCCGTGTTCTGTCAAAATTCTAAAACTTTTAATTGCTGAACTCAAGAATATCGAAGAACAGAAACAAATTCAAACAGACAGTGATGACGACGATGAAGAAGATGATGATCTCAGCGGTAGTGATGCCTTAAAGAATGGTATCTCTGCTTCAAAGCTAAATTCAAATGATATCGGAATTATTGATGAAGTTTGGGCTGAAGGCGAGGGAGATATTAATGAAGACGATATCCTCAATGAAGAGATCGGTAAACTTGATTTAGAACAATACTTGACTAATGTTTTGCGTGAATTCAAGAGTTTGCCATTTCTTAATGATTTTGCCGCACATCTCACTGACAATGAAAAGATTATTTTAAATAAAATTTGAATCAATTTTTTTTATTTTTTTTTCAAGTCATTTGTTTTCCCCTTTTTAAGAGTTAGTCATAACTTTATGCGATTATCAATTTGTAAAGCATTTTTTAAGTTTGCAAAAATTTCAAATCAATAATAAATAATTTTATATTAATTAATAAAGAATTTATATGTAAAGCAGTATTAAATTAGTGATTATTATTTATAAATATAATTATCACTTTTGACAAATTTCAAGCAAATAATCTGTGAGAAATATCATGAATAGATGACATGAAGCTTAAGAATATAAAATCATTGAATTAGTTTTATTGAAGTTATTATAATATAAAGAAAATTTTAAAAATACCAAATTTTTGTGAATGCATTTGAGTTAAATGTTTGATTGCGTGGCAATGGATTTGAGACATTTGAATGGCTAAATCTTTGATAAATATTTGTCCAAAACTTTGTCTTATCATATCATCAATTGATTCAATTAAGTTGTCGATTGTGGCACTCTTTCTGCATATACTATCCAATAATAAGATAAACAATTGCTGTGTATTGGTATTAACTAGCATTAAGTCCCGGTAATCAAGTTGTCGTAATAAATCTACTGAACTATGGAGTTGTGCTAAATCTAAAGCCTATATAAGTAGTTATGAAATGTTTGTTACAATTAAATATATGTATAATTTATCACTTTATGAAAAATATCATACTTTTGCCAAATGAATGAATTGAAACATAGATTTGACTCTATATTTCCATTTGAATGATTGCTCTAACTTTAGTCGACAAACGGATTCATTGTTATAGTTTTCCAGTGCTTTCTTAAGCCATAAAGGATTTAGTGATGCGATGGCATACAAGTGCCTCAATTGATCCAGACTTGCGTCGAGTCTAAGATAAATATCTTCGAGTGTTGAGTAAAGATTGAGATCAAGTGCTTTAAGCGAATCCAAATCAATTTGCACGTGATTTGGCAACTGTTGCCAAAAATGGATTATATAATGTCTCATCTGTCAAGTTATACACAAATTTTTGTTATTCAAGCAATTTATTGACTAAATTGTTTGCTAACCTGAGAGTAATTATGTCCTAAAGCGGAATCCAGAATACATTGACAATGAATTTTATATATGTTTATAAAAACCTGTTTTTCGTCCTAATATATGTAAAGTTTTAATATATAAATACCGGTAGTTATTAAAGTGAATTTCATTAATTAAATATTTCAATTTTTGTTGTATTTTTTACATTAAGAGGATAGAGAGGTATGTGATGAATGTCTCCGACTGAGACCAATGAGTGTAGTATCGCGTGATAGTCATTAGGGTTAAGAAGTCGCGCGTTTCGCGAGAATCTTGAAAGAGGTTTATCATTATGACAATCATCAGGACTTTTCATATGATAGTCATCTTTGAGTGCTATACCATAATACTAATCAAAATTATAATCTTATTTAATATAATATCAATATCTAAATTGTCAAAACTTCAATAACTTATAATGTATCAAATTGTATACAATTTAAATACATTTTATAATTACATGATATTTAGACTGTCCTCTGGCACCCAAACGTTTAGATGTGACAAATGGAAATTGAATACGAATTAACTAAAAATACAGAAAACTTAACTTTGAATGAATCACTAAAAGTGATACTAAATGTATATCAACTTATACTTTGCCGAAAGTTGCCTTACAAACGGGTCGATAGTTATTTTGTTGACAAAATGCACCGTACATTGAATACATAGAGCACCGGGATATTGAAACACTGGATCGACCGTAAAAGTATAGTTGAAGCCATTGAAGAGTGGCAGCTGTTTGTTCATTGGCTCCATTGGTAACTGAAATATTGTCCATTATTTGATCAATCGATATAACGAGTAACACAACTATTTAGACAATGACTAGTTTTATGAAATTGACTCACAAAGTGTATCAGATCAGTGATAATAATGTTGAAGACATATATAGAGATCAATTCAATGAATTGTTGGCGACTTATTCGATACTAATTAATACTTACGGATAAATTTGTTTAAATAAAACAAATAAAGCTTATTGTTATCACTGGTCTGACACATGTAAAGCTCATTTGATAGTATAAATCCTATGATAAGAGATTATTTAAGTTGACATTAAATTCAAGCAAATTGTTTGTTTGTTTTGATAATTAACTTATTTCAAAATATTATTAATTCAACAAATCTTTGTGGTTTACAAAAATCAAATAAGATTTAAAATTTACAACCATTTCAAACATTCTCTAAACAATTACCGGTATATAAAGTTTAGGTCCGGTTGTATAAAATTCATATTTTAATAATTAATATTAAAATTAATATTATCGATCGTTTTCTCTATACATAGACTCACCGTATACGAGCACTTTTGGTTCCTAAGAGAAAATTTGTGATAACCCAGGAATAAATGTACAATTCTTTACCACAACAAAGAAATTGGTTACGGATTTACCAAATCATTGCCATTAATGTTTTTGGACGCATCTGATCGTCACTCATTCACAAATACTCCCCCAGTGTTGCCCACCCCACCCCACAGGATCACATTATATCCCACTGGGTGGGAATAAATGTGATATTTATTCCCATCGACCAATTGGTCAATTTGTTTCAATTTTCATATTATATAGGAAATTAAGTGCTCGTATACGGAATGTTTACGTTTTGACGCTTTTCTTGGAGCCGTTGGTCGGCTTTTGCCTCCACTTGCTTTTGTTGCTCCCGGTGTTGGTTGGCTGCCATAGTCGTCGTCCATAAGACGTGATGGCCTGTGTAGGCACTGACCCATTGCTGTATTGACCCCAATTCTGGCCCATTTGTTGTGCTGGTGTGACTCCAAACTGTGCACCCGTTCGCGCTGCTGAACTAAACCACCAGCTATTCGGGTCATACCAGTTGTACCATGAATTCCACCCCTGAGTTGCACCTAAACAATGATAACAATATTATCATTTCTTTCAGTTTTGCTTTCATTTTGATTATTTTTTAAAAATATTAAACTAACCATAATTTCTGGTTCCTAATTGTCGATAGGCTGATGGAGATGGTAGTGATGCCATAGGCTGTGCGCGATTGCCTCTCGTATTTCGTGTTTGAGGAATGAGTGGTGGAGGAGGAGGTGGAGGTGGTTGTAATGGCAGTGGTGGTGGGCCACGAGGGGGAGCACCAACGATCCTAATATAATAATAAATGATAGGCCATTATAGCTATGATTGATGTAAATATAAACTATAATATATAATACATAGCCCTCTGTTGCATCATTAACATAACACGTCGTTCCCTATTCCTGAGTACCTCTTCTTTCTTTTTGCGATCAGAGGGCGGCTTCGCGAGTGAGACCTCGATGTTAGCGCCACCGAAATCTTTGCCATTAAGATTATTCATTGCTTTGAGAGCCTGATTTCGGTCCTCGAAATGAACGAAAGCATAGTCTTTGATTTTTTTTACCCTTTCAATAGTACCATATTCTTCAAACAATTGTTTCAATTGTTCTTCAGTGACATCACTGGTTAAATTACGGACGTAAAGCACTTTAACTTTGGACATCGTTTCTTCATCGGGTTCCTCTTGAGGATCGGCCCAATCAACCAGTATATCACATCCCCAGACTTTGGTTCGAGCGGTACTTAACTTACGTTTGGCCAAAGAGGCCGATTTGTGGCTTTCATATTCTAAAAAACAAAAACCTCTATTCTTTTTCCGGTCATCTGGAGAACTGTATACTATTACTTCGGTAAGGCCTCCTATAAACACAAACAAATACACAGTTAGTTAAATACAATACATCTGACAATTACTGTAAACAAATGTCATTACCGGCGAGTTTTGTAAATTCTTGAAAAATTTCTTCTTTAGATTTACTTTTTGGTATATTTCCTACAAATAGCCTCAGGTTTGGCACCGAAACGTTCACTTTTAAGGCTTTACTTTTTCTTATTTCGTATCCATCATACTGTTTGGTGGCCACACATCACAGCAAATAAAAACAAAATCACATTATTATCACATATTTAACAATCCATTAGTTATATCTCTCACTTGTTGGACAGCACTTTGTGCGTCATCTTTACTACAATATGTGACAAAAGCGTATCCGCGGGACTGACCATTAATCGGATCCATCATTAATCTCAAGTCCCATATTTTGCCAACTTTATCAAAAAGTGGAATCAATTCATCTTCATATATCTCTTTAGGAAGTTTGCCCACAAATATTTCACAACCCGGTGGTGGCGGTGGGTCTGTCCAGTCGGGAGGCGGTCCGCCGTATTTACGTTGACCAGTAGTTACGTCTAAAGTATAACCTATGAAAAATCAAAACAGACGTCAATTGTAAGATCAAATCTATGGGTCCGTGTACTACCTGTGCGCTCAAGTATCGCCTTAATCTTGGTCTCATCGGGACCGGTATGTGATTTGTCTGGTGTTGTCAGTACGGGTGAAGAAGCGTTGGCCGTGGCTGTCGACGTCTCGCCATTGTTGGTGTCAATCGTTTTGTTGTTGTTGTTGGTTGTGTTGGTTGTGGTGGTTGTGTTAGTGGTGTCGGTATTGGTGTTGGTTGTGGTGGTGTTGTTGGTCATCATCGGTGTATTAGTCCGATCGCAGTCTCCGTCCATTTTCACAACAATTTTATCAAACGTTTTCACAAATGGCTGAACACTCGCAGGCCTTTCATACCTGTCTTAACTTAGAGCGCATGACTAACAATAAAGTCCTAACACTGTTGTTATACAAGCCTTGAGTTATGTCTGACTCGAGCCTAACATTTCAAAACACTTGTCACGTCTTTCCTATACTTTTTGAATGACGTTTCAAACAATTGATTGCTTTTAATGCTTACATGTATTCGACACTCACTTGACTGCAATACACGCGTTGTTCAGTCAAACAGTGTTGACATACATTTGACATACATTTTGCATACATTTAACAACACTTCGATCACAACATAGTTGGCGCCAAACAGACTCACAATCAAACATACAATACATACTCAATATATAAATCATTATAACTTATAAGTTATAACTATTATTATTATTATTTATTTATTATAATTTTCAACTTTAATTTATATCAATTCCAATACATATTTCTAACATTATATTATTGATAATATAATTTAGTTTTTAATAATTGATAGCATTTTTAAAGATATGTAATATTAAAATTAGTATTAAAATTAGTATTAAAATCATTCAATGATATATAACATGTTATATATTTTTAAAAATTAGTGTAAAGTATCTAATGTTATGGCTATGCAGTGAAAACATACTAAAGTGAGTGACTGAGTGTGTCTTACAGTACATTAATGTGTTGGCATTATTGATGACATTACTGACCATTGATTGGATCAAATGATAGTCAATACCCAATCAGATGCTTATATTTGGACATAAATACCACTTTAGTTGATATAAAAATAGCTTTTAAGACAATAAAGTGAAGTTCAAGTCATGTCTTAAAAGAGTTATTTATAGATATGTTTTGACAACTTTTGGGTCAACTTTTCATTGAATAGTATTTCAAATATTTAGGTCTCAGTTGTGACACATTTCACACAATTTGTTAGTTTATTCTATACTTTAAGTATATATTGACTGCACTTATGTCTCAAACAGAATATTCTGTGGAATCGACATTAAGTTGTCATCAATTGATTTACAATACAAACCATATGTTGTGGTCATATGTACTGTATTTTTGTGTTTTAATTTAAGCTTTTTATGTAAGCCCTTGTAGTCATAGCCAAAAAATCGGCAAAAATACTAATTTAAAAGATAAATGTATTGACAATTATAGGCCAATAGAGTTTAAGCATATATATTGATTACTAAATATAAATTATATAATTTAATTAATATAGCCATGGTATATTTTTCACACAACCATGCTCAACTTTACCAATAGAAACTAATTTGTTTAAACTGTAAATATTACAAATTAAGTAATTGTTTGTTTATTATATTTTTTGATTAATTTTCAATACTATAATAATAATATTAAGTCAAAAGAATTTTTGGCTAAAATCTATGTTGTCAGCTCCGTTTTTTGTATTATTTACACGCGCTATTGTTTCAATAGATATAATTAAATATTTCACGTGCAATACGTGATACAGTTATATAATACATTTGTATAATACCATTATAATTAGGATAAGGTTGCGGAGCGAACACCAGGTTAGGTAACGGAGCGAACACTAATACAATAGATTAGGTTAAGTTATCATTTTTGTAATACCATTATAAATAGGTTAGGTTAGTTAAATGTATTATGATATTATTTTTGCTTAAACATATTTACTTTTATTTTATTAATTATTAAAAATACGTGTAAATAGCGTGTGAACTACAATTAAATCCATTGAAACAATAGCGCGTGTAAATAATACAAAAAACGGAGCTTACAAGATAGATCTGCTCCGAATTTTTGTTAATTTAGAATAAATTTTATAATAAAATTTATAAATAGATATCAATTTATGTCAAGTTTGGGTGATCTTTATCTCAATGTCAACCGATTTGAATATTTTTAGTTAATTTTAGTGAATATTTATTATTATTTTTTAATTTATCATATCATTTAAATTGTTTTAACTTATAAGAGTATATTTAAATAAAATAGTCATATTTTTAATTATAAAACTTTTTTAAAATTTTAATTTATATAATTACTAGTTAGATCTCCACGTACATGTAGCATGAGCAACATGCATAAGAAATAGTTAACACGTGCAACAATACTTACGCGCTTACAGTTTATTATAAAAAGTATATTTTATTTATTAATTTTTTATTTAATAAATTAAAATTATTAATAATCGCGCGACACATTAAATTTAATTGTTTGCGTCACACAAACATTTCCAAATTATATAGTAGTATAGATATAATGAAATATAAGTAATATAAAATTTAGTTTTAATGTATAACTTATTTTAGTAAAATTAAATAGCAAAATATTTTTAAAATTGTCTTGATTATTTTATTTGAACTAAAACTAAATAACTGTACAACTGTTACAAACTTTATATAACTTTTAATTAAAATTTTTGTCTCTTATATAAAATATATTTACTACAAATTTTTATAATTTTACAAATTATATATTGTTTATTATTAATAAATTATTAGATATATTTAGCAGTGTATGATAAATATTATGCTGAATGTGTAATCCTATCAATCCTATAATAATCATTACTATCGTTAATAGTATGCATTAAATTACCAGTGCTTATAGTAATGATATTATTGTTGGCCAAAGGACTGACAAATCCCGGCGGAACCGATAAGAATCCCAACGGATCTTCTTTAGGCACTTCTTCGTGTGGTTTATAGGCCGGTGTCAGTGGTCTGATAGCAATAGTTTTATATTCACACGACTCACTTACTTTGTCCACACCATCGATAGTGTCTTCATATGAATGATTTAATAGCTTTTCAATGTATTTAACACTTTTAGCTGATTCACCATTTATTGCATTTACTGATTCGTTTATATTCTCGCCTAATAATTGATAATTTAGAAAAATTTTATTATTAATATATTGCAATTTATATACATATTAAGATATAAATAGCTTATTCTTGGAATTATTTTAAATTTAGTAATATTTCACTTGAAATAAGTAATAATTTTATTTATAGATTGATATACTTTTGCCTATTTTAGCAAATATCTCACTTTCTATGCATTTATTAGTAATAAATTATTACCCATCAAATATATATCGATCTATAGGTATTTATAGGCCAACTCTTTGAATCTAAGTTTAGAGTCATATATAAGTGATAATACATTTGATGCCTTGAAACTACTACTACTTATAAACTATCAATAATTGTTTAACAATAATTGTAATACAATTCACAATTACAGTAAGTTTTTCAATGAATTGACTAAATTTAATAATTTTGTCAAAAAATAATTGTTGAAAAACATAAAATATTTTACATATATTTATTTGGTTTACATTTAATACTGTACATTATGTATCTTATAATATATAGTTATTTATTATATAATATTTAATTATTGAAAGATATTATGAAAAGATTGTAATTCAAAATTTATAAGAGAATATTATTTTTGTAGTTTTTAAAAATCATTGTACTTTAATTATACTATATATAAAATATTGTAAACTAATTATTAAAGTAATTTAAAATTAACCACATATTTAGTCAAATTTATAAATTTAAATAACACATACCCTCGCTATAGAAATAATGCGGTGCTATCACTGAAGTATAGATAGCTTGAGTTGAGTCACAATTATTTAAATTTCCATCATTTAAATCTATTGTATTTATTGTTTGTCTTTTAAACTTTTTCAAACATATTAAATATATAATCCTTATAAATGCAAAAATTGTAATCACCATTACAAACATAACAATCCTAATAAAAATTAGAAAATGTAGAAATACACAATTTACTAATTTAATTTTACTAATTTAGTAGTAACTATTGGAATTTTGTTTAATAAACTTACCAAAATGCCCAGGCACTTATGTTAAGGTGTGTGAATAATGGACTTATACCCATTGAACCCATAAAATAAAATACAATCAATACATTATCATATATAAAGTACTGTTTATTCAATAAAATATAACAGAATATTCTCTATATTTGTGATTATAAACACTGATACTAAACTGTCATCACTTGATAGTGTCAGTCAATGCATTGCACGCAAATAAGAGGTGTTTTATAAGACAATTCAAGCAATTTATGTAACTATTGGTGTAATACATAGAAAACTCATAAATCAATGCTTTATGTTATTCAATATAACAAGGAATTGAAGTATTAAAGTATTATTACTCTAATAATAACTTTTTTTCTATTAATTATTTCTAACATTATTATAAATCTGTTTGAAAACATTTCAATTGTGTTGCTATAGTTATTCCATTGCTTAATATTTGCTAAAATTACTATTTTAACAAACATTTTGTTTATTATAAATATTATTATTTTATTTTTGACATTTTCATTGTATTCATTATTTCAAACTATATTTTAATAATAGTCAATAATAGCTCAAATATATCAATAGTTTACTTAATACAGATTTTTGTTATTTATAATAAATATCTATTTAATTAATTCAGCGATACTAATGATTGAAAGATATATAGCAACGTTTTGGATTTTAGGGGGCTCTAGAGGGGCTCAAATGACAAAAATTTAGAAAAATCTTAGGGTGGGTGTAGACTTTTATTGCATTTTTAAACGGCAATTTTTTCAAAAATAAAGGAGGTGTCATGAGAAAATTCTATAATTTCCCAAATATTCCAATGTAAATTCGCAGGAAAATAGGTAAATATTCCCAATAAATTAAACTATTTCTTAAAATAATTTTTAATTAATAAAAACAAATTTGAAATAAAAATTAAATAATTAAATAATACAGTATTTAAAATTTAAAAATAAAAAAATTTAAAAAATAACTATCATATACAGTATATATTGTTTTACTAACTTTATTTATCGTAAAATTCTATTTAAATTGTAATATAAATTGTTAGATCTCCACGTAATAAAATGTGTATCAATAGTTAACACGTGCAACAATACCCTCTCTCTCTCTCTCTCTCTCAATCTATCTCTTTACTAAAAAATGCTTTCACGCGCTATATAATATACAGTGTATTATAAAAAGTATATTTTATTTAATTTTTTTTATTTAATAAATTAAAATTATTAATAATCGCGCGACACATCAAAAGTAATTGTTTGCGTGACAGAAAATGGCACAAACATTTCCAAATTATATAGTAGTATAGATTACCGAATTTTCAACAAATAGTTAATTTTTAATTTTTTTGTTGAATATTTTAATTAAAATAATATTAAATTTAGATTAATGAGCTTAGAACGTGAGTTTAACTATTTTACTTATTTTTAATCAATAATTACATTCATATAAGTTATAAAAACATAACAAAATATTATCAATTAAAATTACAATTTTTATAAACTTGAAAAAATTCTAAATTTTAGGAGGGGTCATTTCTACTAGTTTTTAGGCAACGATTTTTTCAATTTGGTCAAAAAAATCAGGGGTAAAATCTCGATCTAAGGGGAGTCATTTGGCCTTACCCTACTCATCCTTGCTTAACCCTGATATATATAATTTATATTTTATATACAGTATTTTATACCGTATAATAGTCAAAAAATATCTATTATAAACTGTATTTTGATTAATAAACTTTTATATACATTTCAAAAATATTAAATCATATTGTATTTACTGGTAATTTATTAATTTCTTTATTTAAAAAATATATTGTATATTATTACAAAATTTTATTATTGTCGGTATTAATTAATTTATTAATATGTTATTCAATAATTTACATAATGAGATCAATATAAAGTATTGGTATAAATATAAATTAGAAAATATAATTAAATGGAAATTTATTGTAATTTAAACATACTTTTATTATTAAGAATTTTGTGTTTTGTTAGATAAATAAATAAATAATTACCGGTAATAATAAACTTAAGGGATTAAACTATTGCCCATCAGTTTCATAGAGACCGGGATTAAAATAAAGTTTTTTAACAAACCCTTTAGTTTGAGTTTCAATAGATTGCTTCACTATTTTACCATTCATTACACTAAACCTTTCGTGCAATCTTTGAGCCACTTTTGTGGTCATCAAGTCGTGGAGGTGTTCCCGGTGTGCAAACTCTACCAAACATTTAGCTAATTCATGGCCAAACCATGAACCTGAAGATGTATTGCGTAACGATACATATCCTACAAATTTGAATAACAATTATTATATTTTTATAGAAATTAAATTATTTTACCATTAATTGTTGAATAATAGACAAATATGTCACTCCATGTAGGCATATGTGACATCCTAAGCATCATTAATGGTGCGCCCGATAAACAACTAATACCGGTATCTATTTTTGGTTGTTTGTCTTCTTCTATTATTTATAAATTATAATAATTTTTAATTTTTACGCTTTAAAAAAAATTATAATATTATAAATTCATACCACCCCTACAGGCACTGAGGAAAAACATTTTCGGTTTATTTCTAAGCAAAGAACAGTTAATATTATTGTAATATTCAAGAATTGTGTCCACTTTGACAGTTGATCCACAGATGCCAAAGATTTCATCTTTGATTCCATGCGACAGAATAATAACTACCAGAGCGTCATGTTTTGAGAGCTCAGGGTTTTGTGAATATGATTGCAGTATTCTTTGCATTTGATTTGTAGTTTTATTAATATAATGTTTGACATCAAATCCTAACTGAGAGAACACTAATGATAGAGTTTGTGAGTCGACTTCAGATCCCTTTCTATCCGAAAGATTGTTTGTTTTGAATTGTTGGTTATCAATCATTATACAGAAACCTCGGGGACGGGCAGTCATTGGGTAAACGTCACCATATTTATTGCTTTTCACTTTTTGGGAGTTTATAAGTATCAACTCCTCAGATGATAGTTTTGGCGGACAAAAGAAGTGTTTGAAACTTTCGCTTAGTTTGTACTTCAATGTCATTAAACTACTGTCACACTCGTCTTCAGTGAGATATGAATCGCCAATTGTTTCAATAAATAAGTTGATCTCTTGTTTGTCACGACTTTTAATGTGTGTTAATAATGCTGTCAATTGACTTTCCTCGTCATTTACATTACTCTTATTAAAATTAATTAAAATGATTAATCAATAATTAATAGTTAAATTAAAAACATATATATATTTATATATTTAAATTATAAACTATATTAAAAAATACCATTAAATCAGATAATTCTTTGTCTTTAATAAATTTATTCGAAATCAATAGTTGTTTGAATTCATCCAAATCTTTGCCAAATGAATTAAATTCAGCCATTGTTTCAATTGTTAATAATTTATAGTTATTAATACACTATAAATAATATACTACTAATAAATATATAATTAATATTTTATCGCTAATTATTGTTGTTTTATTGCATTGTAATGTCTTATCACAAAATGATTGCAACACTTAATAACTTAAATATATTCTAATTTATATCAGATATAATCAGTTTTGTGATCAGGGTTTTAAGGAAATAAATGCCTGCCCTGGAAATGCCAAAATAGATGCCATTTAATGCCTGGCATTTGGGCATCTATTTTATTTGTCTGCCATTTTAAATTGCTAATAAGCAACTGTATCTATAAAAATAATGTAATTTAGTGTTTTTAGTGTGTTAATTAAATTTGCAATTTATATACTTATTTCCAAGGATACTACCTTTTAATTAAACGTATACAAAACAAAAATACAAATGTTTTATAAATTAATTAATAATATAAAATTAAAATAATAGGTGTCACCACCTAAAAATAGATGCCCAGGGCATGGCAAAGGCAGGGCAGGCATTTGACAGAATTGACATCTATTGTTTATTCCTGCCGTTTTAAAAACCCTGCTCATAACTAATTTATATTCTCACTGATTATTTTAGGTATAATATGACTCATACGGACTAATTTATATTAATAATAAATATTTATATTATAATATCACTTATACGGAATTTTTAATGTTAGTGTTGGGGTATTTTGTTATTTATAAGTAATTACCGGTAATGCCATTAAAGTTTGTTTTGGCAATGCTATCTAGCATTTTCAACAGGTTTTATTATGACATTCAACTGATTTAATAGTGAGTATTGAATTTTTCAAGTTTAAGTTAATGCATCAAGTATAAATAAATTGCTGGTTATTTAGTAAATCAATAACTAAAATACAATTTTTAATATTTAAAAATAACTTTTAAACTACTTTTAGTAAAAATATTTGATTACATTTAGAATTTATAGGTTAATGTTAATATAGAGAATATTCACTATAAAAATAAAGTAGTTTTAAAAAATATTTAATTAATTAATTTATATTTAACTTACAATATTAATTTATAATTACTACACTATAACTATAACTACAGTAGTATTATACTGTATATTAGTTGAGATATTCCGTATTTAAACAATTTAAATAAATATTTTATAGACAATTAATGATATGAACTAAATTACACTAAACAACTAAATTAATAATTGTAAGTTTAAAATAAATCTTTTATTTATAATTAATAATACAATAAATTGTAATTTAGGTGAATATAATGTATAATTTATAATCAATATTAAAATCATTTTCATAAACAAATCAATTGATTATTAATGCGGTGACAGTGAAGCCGTCGATGAAGTACTGGTCGTCATTGCAGTGTTTGTCTGAGTGTTTGATTTAAAGTTTGGTTTTTCAATTCGTTGATAATTAGGAAGTATTTTACTTAAGAAGTCCAACTGATAGGTCTGTTGAGTGGGCTTTTCATTTTGTGTCCGACGTCTACAATCGGTGCCGAAAATGACAGTATTTTCTGGTAATAATTGGTCGCAATCGACACAACACATGGCACCGATGACACAGCCATTAGACAGTAATGTTTTTGATCCGACGCGACACTTGGACTCGAGTACGTTGTGGTCACCGACATGTTGTGACTGACAATGAGATCCCACTTCAAACACATTATGGGAACCAATGATCAGCGGTTGAGTGCATGTGTTAATGATATGAACTCTTTCCTCAATCAGATTGGATTCGCCGATAACAACGGGACCTTTGGTCGCATCTATGACTGCCGTCGGATGAATCACAGTCTTTGCACCGATCGTTATATCACCCAATAGTGTCGTCTCTTCACAACAAACTATGGATCCGATACTGATTTTGACACTGTTTTGCAAAACAAATGATTAGTATTTAATTGATGTCATTATATATCTTAATTGATACTAACTTTTGCTTATTTGTTGACATATTTGACATTCAATTAAATATCAATCAAAACAATACATTCATTTGTAAACAATTTGTTAAACATTTTACTCACAAATAGTTGACGTTATTTATAGTAAAGGTATTCATGTTTTCAACCAATGAGAGAACGAATTGAATACTAAGTGTCCAATAGGAGAGTCAGTGACTAAAGTTAAACTCATATTTCGAATGATTTGGAGCTAAATGTGAGCATTGAATGAATGAATGACTGATTAAATCAATGAATGAATAATTGTTTGAATAATTGTTTGACTATTAGTTTAATTGTAATAATAATTGCAATCAATTAGTGAAATGTCATCCAATGTGTTGAAGAGTATCACTGATTGCTATAACTTTAGCGATGAAAGCAAAACAAAGAAAACGAAAACCCGAAGACCAACGGTGGCCACCAATGAATGTATACGTAAATTGTCGACAAAGCCATCAAATGAGACCAAACGTGAGGGCAAATGGAGGTGTGATGTAATGCGGGACACACTGTCCACTGCCCAGTGGCTCAATGGTGTCCGCGCACAACATGACCACACCATCGACACTGTACTCAAACAACTCATCAATCATACCATCGATGGTTGCAATTGTGTCAACATTTGTTCCGTTCATTTACTTATTGGTAACACTTATTTGGAAAGATTTTTATTGACTCTCAAAGAGTTTGACGACAAAGTTGTTACTCAAGAAGTGAAATGCAATGACTTGAATAACATCTGTAAAGACAATCCTTTTAGTATTAATGATATTCCCGTTCAGAAAGAGAGCAAATGTGAGTCAAATGTAATGCCAGAGTTGGTTAACATGAAGAGTATGACAAACTTGTTGGCGCCCATCGATAGTGCTGTCGATCATTGGACTCAAGCACTGGACTTCGGCATCAAAATGAAGAATTATATGAATGAAGAACTCATAATTGGTCTCAAGATTTACTATAACTTATATTCAGTCATTCAAATCAACGCTTTTTATAAACGATTTGAATCTCGACTCAAATCAATTCATTTGTTGAACAAGTTTTGCGAACATTTCTCTAATAAATACTCTGAAATGAGTTTAACTGCCAATTATTTTTTAGTGAAGACTTATTTGGATTTAGGAGAAACCAATAGAGCCAACGCTATTTTGATCCGTAATAAGTCGTCCAATAACTGCGGACAACCAAACAATGAAACATTTGCCACTTCGTTGAACTTTTTGGCAAAATGTGAATTGGATTTAAAGAGAGGATACACTGAAAGAGCGGCCAAAATGTTATGCACTTTTTTGTCATCAGATTATGTCAAAAAACTAACTATAAATCGCTATTATATTAAAGGATTGGCTCTACTATTAGCCACACATTTCCCATCAAAACATTTTAATTATGATCAGTATTTGCGTGAATTTATTGAACCGACTTCTATAGCTATATGTATATTAAAGCGATGGCATAAATGTTTGACGTCTTCTAATAAGTCTAACGATGAAAATATAATAAACGTCGGCGACGTCGACCCCATTTGGTATCGTTTTTCAGTTCTTAACTTTGCTTTCGATGCCATTCAGATGTCTCTTAAATTTTATCAAAACATTGAGATGCCTTTGGATGCCATATATTCGTATAATTGTTTGCTAAAAGTTGGTCGAAGATGTTGTGCAACTGTGCGGTCAGTTTTTTTCTTAATTGAAAATATTGTCAATACTTTTTAAATGTTAATAATTTGTTTTTTTGATATACAGTGTCGCAGAATTGCTTATAAGTGGTTCACAATTGGATAATCTATGTGATCATAAATATGCTTCACAATTAAAGCTCAAAAATGCAATGCTATGTATAAGCCATAACCGTTGGTCATCTGATGATGAATCAGTATTTGATTCGGGATCTTCAATATCGACAATATCACCCGACACCAAACGTGCCATTCACGGACATATACCTAAAAAACAAAGCCTTATTGACAATATTTTTACAAAAGAAGTCATAACCATTGATTCATCGAATAGTGATTTGTCAGATAATGAAGACTGTCATCACACGGGCTTACGACCACTTTGGGAGGTAAAGAAAAAATTAAGACAATTGGACAACAAGTATAGCGATGATTCTGAAGACTTTCTAAATGATAATAAACGCGTGACTCTAACTGAAGAATTGTTGAATGAAAGTGATTATGAAAACCAAATAATTGATTTGTTTTTAACGAAACTTGAAATTAAATTCAATGAACTATTAACTGATGAAATGGATATGAAAACACCGAATTACACCTTTAGTCAAGTGTCTGCTCTTTTAGTACACATTGAGAAATATGCTTCAAATGTAATGAAACCTATTATTATTAAACATATTTCTGATTGTAAAATACAAGAAATTGAGACGAATTATGTTAAGTATAAACTATTGAAAATGCAATTTATTGAGACTTTGGCTCGACTTCAGATTCAAATGAAAGAGTTTGTTAATGTGATTAACACTTGTAGTCATTTGACTCAATTGAAGACATTTGCATACGAAGAGCGATGTATTCAATCAAAGCTATTATATTATGAGGCATTCGCTAAATTTAGTTTATTTATAACAAACTGCAACACAAATAAAGCAAACAATGTTTGGCTTGAATATAACAGTCATTTTATTAATGAACTAATTAGTAGTTCCCTTATAACCATTAATAAGTCTTCAACTCCTCCGAGTATCACTAAATCTGATATTAAAACCTCAAGAAAAGTTCCAAACGCTCCCAAACAGAAACAATTTAAAGATAAAGATATTGGCGATTATGTGTCTGAACTTAATTATGAAGATAACAACTCTGATGACGACAACAACAATGATAAAAATGTATCTAAACTTAAGGCTTGTATGAGACTTAACTTTGAACGTGACTGTGAAGTGCGTTCGCATTCAATGACTGATTTAGTCTCTAATGATAGTCAGGATATTGTGGTAATCGATGTGATTCCTAAAGTGGAATCTAACTCAAAGACAACACAACGTATCACTCGATCGAAAACAAATTTAATGAAATCTTCGGTACGTTTGAGTGATAATGAAGATAATGTGGAGAAGAAAACAAAACGATCGTATAATAAGTCAACAAAAACTAATGTCTTTATTAATGATGTTTCAAATAATATCAATAGCGTTGATAAAGATATTGAAGAACTGGATGATGTGTTTAATAAAAAGCTAGTAATTAATGAAGAAATTGGTTTAAAAGAAACTGTTAGAAAACAAACAGATATTGAATTAATTATCTCAACTCTACAATGTGTTTATGATTTAATTGGTTTGCATCCCATTTGCAAACTTTATATATTAGTTAATAAATTATTAACAGATATTTATTCATTGGATAAATTGAAAAATGAAGATAAAGTTGGTTATCATTTTTGTGAGATGAATGCTATAACTTATAGATACAGGAATTTATTTATTGCTGAAAGAAAACGAAAACTGAATAAATTGTTTAAATATGATGTAAACTCACTATCATTTGACAAACTAATGGTTTCGGGTAATAACAGCTATAAAGTATATACTGATAGTCTACCAAATGACTGGCGTGTCATTCAAATTACAGCCATTAATAATGACTCTAATATTCCCAATTTAATCGTCTGTCGCTATCAAAAGAGTCGAAAACCAGTATTTCTTAAAATAAAAGCTGATCCACAAAAGGTATTAAAACTTTTTATTAAATATAACTTTTAATTGCAATTTTTTTGTATATATTGTTTATATCTCAGATAATTAAACATTTTATGACACATTTTATGGAAATAATTGAAAAGTCAAACGCATCGATTGCTAACAAAGATAAAGAAACATTTTGGCGCTTAAGATACTCTTTGGATGACGAGATGAAGATGTTGTTGAAGAGTGTTGAGGACACCTGGTTTGGAGCATTTCGTGGAATACTTTTGGGCCAAATTCAAGATAAACGTTATCTTAAAACGTGTCAATTGTTGTGCACTTATATAAGGGATTTAATGAAAAACCAAGGACTTGATTGCAAAAATACAGCACTTCTTGAAGTAGTTGTCGAGTCATTACCTATACTCAGATACAGTGAATTTAGATCAGCCATTAAATTACTGTTTAATATGCCGTCCGATTCTATAATTTCCAAATGTTATCAAAAATATGAGCAATTAATTAATGATATTTTTCCAATTGATAACAAAGAGATGATTTACTCTACATATAACATATCGCCAGTCGGTATAATACTTGATAAATCATTGGAAGCGTTTCCATTTGAATCATTGCCATCACTTGAAACATATAATCAGTCAGTATTCAGGACACCATCACTAAGAGTTTTATCTCTAATGTATAAAGCATTCAAAAATAATATTTATGCGAATGGTTTAAATGAGTCGAGCGTTTATTATGTGGTGAATCCGGCGGACAATTTGGCTAAAACTCAGAACTACTTTAAAGAGACTTTTGATGCGATGAAAGAATGGAAAGGAGTTATTGGAGAAGTTCCACAATCTTTGCAATTAAAGACTGCATTTGAGTCTAAAGATGTTTATATATTCTTCGGCCACGGAGCCGGTGCATCATATTATAGATCAGTTCCCGATGGACTTGATTCATGTAATATCAATTGTGCCGCTATTGTAATGGGTTGTAGTAGTGGTAAATTGTTTTCTGATGGTTACAAATTAGAAACACATGGAACGCCCTATAGATTTATTATGAATGGCTGTCCCTGTTATGTGGGTGTCCTCTGGGATGTTACCGATGTTGATATCGACAAGTTTTCCGATCACATGTTAAGCTATTGTTTTACAAAATGGAAACCAGAGCTAAATAATTTGAATACCAATAAATCAATTACAACAGGCGTCTCAATGTCCCGAAAATATTGTAAACTTAAATATTTGATTGGAGCCGCACCTGTAGTCTATGGATTACCATTGTTTGCCAAATGCAGTTCAAATTAAATTTATATTCTTATATATTTGAGTTGATTTTATAATAATATTTTTAGTTTGGAATTATTATACCATTTATTTATCTTAATATACACAATATCTATGGGAAAAATATATACTTTTTGCAAATTTTAATAAATTTATAATCAAAGTTTTATTTCAAGGAATTAATAATAAATATTTTAATAAAATATATTTTTTATTTAACAAATATTAGATAAAAAATGATATATAAATATTTAGTTGATTTAGTATTATACTTAATGAGTGGATGTGCTCCGATTGAAGACTTGAGTAACAGAAGCAGTTGTATAACTAACTGACTCGGCTGCAGCACCGGTAGGTTTAACTGAACCATTATTATTTGTAGCATAATTTGGGCTAACGTTTGTTTGTTTGACTCCGTCTACAGTGGCAATAGTGTCAGTGATATTATTGTTGGCACCGACACCTCCACGACCGGTCACTTTATTAAACACTTCTTTTGCTTTTTGAATGCCTGTTTGTATACCATTTTGAATGGCATTCTTAGCCTTTTCTAAGCCTTTCTTGATTTCTTCACCGAAACCCCAAACCGATTGCGAGACAATTAAAAGTAAGAAAGTTATTGATATTAGTTTCATAACTATATTATTAATTTTTAATTAATTATATCAATTAAATGTTTTATTAATCACGATATAGTAAGAATAATATATTTCAATATAAATATTCTATAAAATTAATGTGTGATAAAAATTATTCTCAAAAGGTTTTTATAGGATTTTAGAGAAATAAACTAAAATTATTATATATTTTATTTTCAACAGAATCCTGATTAAATAAAATACTATTTTCATATAAAAATCTGTTTTATTTGTTTAAACAATATAATGTAATTAAAGTTTAAATTATTTATTATTATTAATGCTGTATAGAGTGTAATAATATACTTGTATGAATACTATATTTTTGTCCTAATACTTTATGTTAAAAAACAATATAAGTTAGGTATATTCAAATGGTTTTATGTTAAAATATTTTATTACATGTATATGTTTAACAAAAACACCTGTTACTTAAAATACTATTTCAACAATAATGCAAATACTGTATCATTATTGCTCTAAATATTGTAATCTACTTTAAATTAAATAGTTTTATATATACCCGTATACTCAATAAAACTTGTTTGTATACTTTTGAATTGATCATGGTAACTATCTAAATTTATAGTACTGTATTTTTACAATCAAATGTTAAAACACAGATACAATAAATTAGATTTTATTGTAATCATATATATTTCCAATTACTCTAACCATTATTTTACAAATTAGCAATGTATAATTGTTATAAAAATATATAAATTAATAACTTGATATAAATTATCTTTAATTAGATGATATATAATATATTATATATTTCAATATACTGTATAACAATAAAAATAAAATATGTATACAGTATTCTAAATAATAATATACTATACTATACTACTGTACATACATTTTAATTTTGTAAAGTTTTATATTAATATAAATGTAAAAATACTATAAATCAATATATAGTACAGTATTTAAACACATGTTATACTGTTTATGAAGTCATTGACAACACAAGCATTACATCATATGTTATGAATGAATCAAACAATGCATTGATTGTCAATACATGTCATCATTTGAATGATGTTTACAAAAGTCATTTTAAGAAGACTTGGATTCAATCAACTACTAGACATCAGCGGTCAATGCAGACGACTATCATTTAATCACATAGTGTTGGGAATTGAGACCTCATGTGATGAAACAGGTATTGCTATCGTTGACCAAAACGGTAACATTAGATCTGATGTTTGTCGGTCTCAGCTGAAGACTCATCTATCAAATGGTGGGATAATCCCTCCCGTGGCCCGAGTCTTACACCAAGAATGCATTGATGATTGTGTTCGTCAGGCCCTACAACAAGCAAGTGTTAGTCCCGCAAACTTGTCCGCCATTGCCGTCACTTTAAGACCAGGTTTGCCGACATCTCTAATAATCGGCAAGAATTACGCCAAAGCATTAGCCATCAAGTATTCATTGCCAGTGATTCCCATCCATCACATGGAAGCACACGCTTTGATGGCAACCATTGATAACGACATTAACTTTCCATTCGTTACTCTTCTTATATCTGGCGGTCACTGTCTTCTGGCAATTGTCAGAAATATTAACAAATTTGAACTCTTAGGCAATACACAAGATATAGCACCGGGAGATCTCATGGATAAGATTTCTCGTCGATTAAGACTCAAAAATTTCGGCCAACCATATAATGAGATCAGTGGCGGTGCGGCTCTTGAGTTGTGCGCCAAAACTGGCAATCCTTTCGAGTATTTCACTGATGTGAACAAATATCCGACGTATACTTCACTCAACCGAAACTGTGGTTTTAGTTTTAGTGGTTTTGAAACAATGACTATTAGATTAATAGAGCGTTTGGAAAAAGAGACGGACATAGAGCCCGATCGGGTGTTACCGCAGGCCAACAATATTTGTGCTTCACTTCAATACGCCATAACTTTTATGTTTATTAAGAGACTTCAGAGAGCATTCATTTTTATTAGAGATAATAATTTGTTTGATAACAAACCAATAAAACTTGTAATCAGTGGCGGATGTGCTTCCAATCAGTTTATCACTGATTGTATCAGAAATTATTGTCAAACTGAAGACATTGAAGTGATTGTTCCGCATAAAAGATTATGCGGTGATAATGGCGTTATGATTGCATGGAATGGTATCTTAAAACTGGTTAACGAAAACAAGTTTTCCGATTCAATAATTAGATCTATGGATAGCATCAAAAAGATTGATATTTTAGCGAAAGCACCGTTTGGTGAGGATATCAGTAATCTATTAATTTCACAACACATCAAATGCGATACAATTGATGTGAAAAAGTTTATAAAACTAACATAAACTATTGATTTAAGTAATGTTTGATGAATTTGTATTTAAATTTTAGATCAGAGACAATATGTAAATAATTTAACATCATAAATCTATCATGGTAAAACAATTGAATATTTTTAATAAAAATTATATAATTTGAGTTAATTGTGTATTTCATGTTTTTACATTAATTAATTAATTAAAACGCTTAAGTCTAGATTGTAGGAGTCACTAAAATTCATACATAATATGTTGTAATACATGCAATAAAATGCATTAAATCACATAATCTTATATATTGGATGAGACAATTGTTAAATAAAATATAATTTTTAAAATTTTGTTCTTTAGTTATGTTAGTTTGTAATTGTTGTGGAGGTTAGGAAGTGTTAGGGTGTGTGGAGGGTTAGGAAGTGGTGTTTGATGGGGAGATAAGTGTCTTAATTAAGGTAACACTTGTCAGTACAATGAATTAAATCAATGTATTTCATTGACTCCTTATAATCTAAGAGTTATTCCCATTTTTAAACATTTAAATTATAAACATTACTATAAATATTCAACATTTGGCTAATACTTTCATTGTTGAGATACAGAATATTCTATGTTATTGTCAATTATCTATAGTGTAAATCTTGTAAGTTTTATTTAAATTTAATACATTTTAAGTTAAGTAATGTATTGATATACAAAAACTATGTATTGTTTTTAAATTTATTTAATAAATATACTGCAGTATTACATACAATTTTATAGAAATTATTAATAAATAGAAATCTTACTTAAAAAAATCTAATAAATAAAACATTTTATAGTTTATGAATGTTTTAAAAATTTAAATATAAATAATAATTATATCAAAATAATTCCAATGAATCATACTTACTGTAATCATATAATACTAATAATAGTTTATTACATAATAATTATAAAATTGTGATACAATAATAATTATACATTATTTGTTTATAGTGTTAGTAATGCTATATTTTAAAGCACTTTGGATTAATTCCAAGTTTGTATAATTTAATTCCCAATTAATACAAGTGATAATTATTTATCTATTATAACTAATTAAAAAAATTATTAAGAAATTGTCAATTAAAAAATATATTTATAAAAATACATATTAATTAATAAAACATTTAATATAAAATCAGTGGATACGCAGTTTATAATTTTAATTACAGTATAATCATACGATTTATAGCATATATACTGTAAATTTACAATTGGTTTTGAATTATGTATCAAAATAAACTCAAAATATCTTGAAAATAATTTTATCAATTTTATTGTATAATTTGTTTTAAATGATTAATCAATTCCCGATTTATGAAGAAGAAATAATTTATCAATTATTTAGAAGTATTTAAAAAATATTTACCTGTAATCTATAATATGATATATTTGAAATTGTAATAAATGTATATAAAGGGTGATTCTTGTTCACCAATTAAATATAATAATGTATTGATTGGAGTGGTTTCGTGGACAAAGCTATGTGCTTACCCGGGATATCACACAGTCTAAGACAAATGTTGGACAACTAAGAAATTGGATCAAATAACAAACGGCAATATATGATAGATTTGTAATAATATTATAAATTGAATTATTTCAAAATTATTTATTTAAAAAAATATATCATATTAAATTTAATAATTATAAAAACTATAAAATAACCATGATAATATATTAAATGTTTAATCGCTGTGTACTTTTGGTGGTTCAATGTTAAGTTGAGATGCGATACCATTCTGTAATAATTGTTTTTATATATATTGATTATATATATATATATATTAAAATTTTAAATAAAAATTTAGTTTGGATTTGTCTAATAAAAAGTTTATGTATGACTACTAAAAGTTTGTTTCAATTTATTAAGTTTTAATACAAATAACCTTTTCTAAGTAATGTCTAAATAATTTTAATTAGTTTTTTTGTGTTAAATTTTTAAATCATTAAACTCGACAATTAGTTTGTGTCAAAACAATTTGGTATATATTTATGAGTAGACAAATCCAAACCTATTAAACTTTTCTGTAACATATCTTACAGCAAATGTTATTTGATTGATGTGGTAGGCTATGCCTCCCTGTTCATCACATTTTCTCATGTTTTCTCTTTCAGGATCGCCAGCAACTAATACATTAGGCTGGCCATCAACTGGCTCTTGATTGCGACAGTGATCTATTAAATTGGACATTCTGTCGGTAAATCCCGGAGCAAACATTTCGGGATTTATTGCCACAAAACATTGACCCTATTGTTAATTGGTATCTATTATTAAATAAATCATTTGATGGGTGTCACAAAAAACATACCAAATTAGCAGTCGTGTGATTATCTGACCATTTTCTTACATTTGGTGCAACAGCTGATCCAGAAAGTATGGCAGTAAAGAGTTCAACCATCATAGCTAAGCCGTAACCCTTATATCCACCTAAAAAATAATTATAAGTTATTTAATATTTCAACAAATTTACAATTTCTAAGTAATACTAGATTTTTCAGGTCCTCCTAATGGCAACAATGCATTTAGATTCTTGGGATCAGTTATTTGTTGACCGTTCTTATCGATGGCCCAGTTGTCTGGAATTGATTCATCTTTTCTATCAGCTAATTCAACTTTACCCAATGCTACTACTGATGTTGCCATATCCAAAACAAAACTGTCCCCATTATTAGCCGGTGCTGCCACTGTCAAAGGATTGGTACCAAAGAATGGCTCTTTTCCACGAGTTGTRGCCACAAGTGGTGATGCATTTGTGAATGCCATTCCCTATTAATACATAAGCATACAGTATATACAATATAATATGAATGATGGGATTATAGCCTGAATAACTTACAATCATGTTTTCATTCATGGCTAACAAACTGTAATAACCAGCGATTCCGAAATGATTACTTCCTTAATAATTATAACAACTTTATTATTGAATAAATTTCTCAAATAATCAAACCTTTAGCGACAACCCATCCAATACCGGCTTCTTTAGCTTTTTTTATGGCTAACTCCATACAGAACTTGCCGACAACGGGACCCAACAGATTGTTGCCGTCAACCCAAGCGGTAGCCGCGGATTCATTCAAAATGATTGGCTGTCCGTCGGCTTTACACGACTTGCCCTTAATATCCTCCAAATAGAGATCTTGTTATTATTAATGTGAAACAAATAATAATTAATATATTTATCTAATTATAAAAATAATTACATAATACCTAATCTGTTGAGTCCATGACTGAAGTGTCCCCTATAGTCACCGGCAATCAATACGTCGGCTAATATGTCGGCGTGCGATGCATTGGTGCCAACGGCGACCATAGCTCTCGTTATAAATAATTTGATATCATTTTTGGCAACAATTAAATAAGACATTATTTTATTTATTAGTATTAATATATTGAATGCAATATATTTGGTAATTAAATCTATGGAGACTATAATGTTTCTAACGCTATGTCAGATGTTTTACAAATGTTTGGATTATAGACTTGTATTACAAATGATTAGTGAGATGTCTGTCCTTCACTAAACATATCTTATATTAACCGCTAAATATATGTCCTTCACATTTGTATGATAGCTATGAATCTGCAAAACTTTTTAATAGACATGAGTTTTGAAACTTTTTTAAAAAATACATAAACAACAAAATTCTCACTTATTTTTTATATTACATTCTCTACTCAATGAAACAAAAAATAATTTTATTTATTTATTTAAATATTATTTAACTTTTAGTGTAAACTTATACTGATATTACCACTTGAATCGATAAAAACTAATTTCCAAGAACTCGGTTTGGCAATGCTAGAATTGTTACAGTATTTTTATTGGTTCTATTTTACTACAAAATTTAATAATAATTTAATTAATATTTATAAATATTAAATTAGTATCAAATCATTAATTTTACATAACCCTTAAACATTGAACATTATTTTTAATGTATTTACAATAAATTTAGAAATTTACTGGAATTCAGGAATAGAGGGAATTTAAGCGATGATAGGTTTCGATTTTCACTGATAAACAGATACTAATAACTGATAATTTTTAGATTTTGCCAATTATGTCATTAAATAAATTTTGATTAAGATTACAGCCTTTTTATGCTAATATTTTAAACAAAAATAACAATTAGATTTTTTACAGTTTTTAAACTACAGTAAATGTACTTAACATTTAAAAAATTACTTATCATTATAATTCTATTAAGTAATAGTAATAACAATATAAACCTGAATATTAATTATTATATAATCATAAAAGATAAACAAATATTTGAAAAATATATGAAAAATGATTTTTATAAATCTTGCTATAAATTATTTATATATAAATAATAGTATAATTATGCTATAAATAAAATAATAAAACCAATTATGAATAATTATACAATTAAGGTTATTAACTTTTATGTGAACAAATTTTTGTTATTTATTTTCATAAATACATTATATCAAAAACTCTGATATTAGGATAATTATTAATAAAAACTATTGTTTTAAAGTTTTAGATATTTATTTTTTAGTATATTTACTAAACAATTGTATTTGTGAGTAAAAAAATTAAAATTGCTATATATTAAAATATGATATCATAAATATAATTTTAATTATTTAATTATATAAAAATACTGTAAAACAAATTGATATTAAGCATTAAAATAAAAAATATAAAAACATTATAAATTGATTAGATGAGTAAACTTTACTTTATAGTGCACTCAATTGATCGCAATTAAGACAACTAATTAGTTATTAAAGAGGTGTTACTAATGATTAAACAAATCAGATTAGTTGTTATACTATATAAATATTTCCACATTTGAATAATACTATATTTATGCAAATTTCATGTCAAACAGTATAACAAATTTGAATTTGGTAAAATTAATAATTTATTTATTAAAAATAATCAAAATTGTATTATATAAATGGTAAAAATAAGATAAAATAAAATAAATTTTGTTGAGTATCTTAAACAATAAGTTGCTGTATTTAATAAGCAGATTGCAAAACAATTAGAGTTACAAACTGATAAATTTTTTAATAATTTTTATCACATGTGACGAAATCAATACATTTATATTGATTACAATATATGAGAATTATTTATTGCTAAAAGTCAACTAATCGTTTTACATTTAGTTATCTTTTATTAATATTTTAACAATTTATTATTAAAATAAAAACAATTATTTTTATTTACAATAAATTTAGTAATACTAATTATAAGCCATTTGTTGATACATAAAATGCTACTTTTATAAGTTTTTAGTTTTAATTATAAATAAAATATAGTAAAATGCCATTTGATTGTTATACTAATCATGCTTACAATGAAAAAGGTATGTATTATTATAATTATGAAATATATATTATTGTAAATTGCTTTTAATTAACTTAAATTTCATTATCATCCATAAAAACATTTAATTATTTTATTTATAAAAAAAATTGTATCAATATATTAAATATACAGTAGCAAACATATAAATGATAAATTTTTGCATGTTATTTTTTTGTTTTCATGTATTAAAAATGATCAAATTTTTAAATTTATAAGTAATATGTAACTAAACATATTTAATATTAACAAAATGTAGTGCATATTATTTTTATAGAGTGATAATATAAATCTTATCCAAACAAGTGCTTATTAATAAAAATTTATTAATGATATTACAGTATATTTAATAATCTTAATATACTGTATAATGAGTATAAATATAAAGCAAGTCTAGTATCAAATGTTTGAATGAATCCATTGAATCAACTTATGGTTTGTGGTGTTTGTAGTGTTTGTTTCTGTCCATCACTTGTTATATACAACTCTATCGCTTGACTGCCACTAACATCTCACTCAAAGAGTATCGCATTTCACTCTTTATATTCAAAACATTTATGTCTTAACTTAAGGTCTAATTATAATAACGTTAAATTAGATATGAATTTATTATGAATCTTAACAAATATTAAATTTCTATTCTATTATTTTAATAAATATTTTATGTTATTATTGACAAAGTTTAATTTATTAAAATATTTTTGACAAATTTATAATTTTAATTAATAAATCATTCTTAAATTAAAATTTTTATTAGCATGATAATTATTTTTGTTTATAAAAAGTTTATTTTAAGTAAATACAGACAAATATGTTAATAAACAAATAGATAGATAAATACTGTAGATAGAAAAAAGAAAGAAAGAGAGAGAGAGAGAGAGAGAGAGAGAGAGAGAGAATACTTTAAATCTGTGAGTTTTATTATAATACTTAATACTTGTATAACTTTTTCAATCTATATTAAAAAAAACTTAAAGTCAAACAATAAAGCATTATATCATATTAAACATCAATGAATGTCAATGTAGTAAAACAGCTGCACTTATGAGTTGACATAAAAGGGAAGTTCTTTAAGAATATTCACATTTGATTTAAACATTTCAAGTCATTTGTTTGAATTTTATTCATTGATAGGAATCTTTAGTAACACTTTGGTAATGAAGTTTAATAATCTTTTTTTCAATCTAATTAATTATCCACAAAATTAATTAATTCAGTGATAATAACAATCTTTAAAAATGAATATTATTGTATCAAATAATTTAGAGACCAAATTGTTGAATCCAGAATTTCATCACTTTAACAATAAATTGTCCACAAATTTATATGATAACGAAATACAGTATTGCGATCAAGTCTTATATGAAGAACCTGTAAATAGTTATCACGAAAATAACATTTATAATAATAGCGGTAATTGTCATCAATGGTCAAGAAGTGTGGATGCAATTGATTTGCTGACGAGTCCTAAATATCATTCATTGGGATCTAAAAAATTACAAAATGATGACATATTAGATCTGGAATGTCTTTATTACGATCAGTTTGACAACAATTTAGGACAACAAGAAATAGTGTCACCAAAAAAGGAAATTTTTGATTATCACAATCAGCAAAATGAAAGTCATTGCCAACACATATATCAATCAAAATATCAAAATATATGTTCAATGAATACCAATCACACCGGTTATAGTGATCCTAATTTTCAGAGTGTTATTGAAGATGCAATTTCTTTGGAGTCGTCTCTTAACTCATCTCATATGATGTCAAACATCCAAACGTGCGAATGGTTTGAATGTTATTCAGTATTCAAAAGTCAAGAAGAATTAGTAATACAAATGTTTTTAATTAAAATAATTATAAGACATAACAGCATTGCTTTCCCCCCTAACAACAGGTCCAACACATTGAAAAGCTTCACATCGATCAGCGCCGTAATAACGATGAGTTTACTTGTTTTTGGAGAGACTGTCCGCGAATGAAACGGCCATTTAATGCCAGATATAAACTATTAATACATATGAGAGTACATTCAGGCGAAAAGCCTAATAAATGCACAGTTAGTTTTAATTTTGATCACCCATTGCATTAAATATTTAATAATTTTTTATATAATAAATACTATAGTTTGAAGGATGCACTAAAGCTTTTTCAAGGCTTGAAAACTTGAAAATTCATATGAGATCGCATACCGGGGAACGACCGTATGTTTGTCAATATGAAAACTGTATCAAAGCTTTCAGTAACTCATCTGATCGGGCAAAACATCAGAGGACACACATCGACACCGTATGTCTATTTAAAATTTATTTATCCACAAAATATTTAAATTATTTGTATTAATATTTAAGAAGCCGTATGCCTGTCAGGTACCTAATTGTGGTAAAAGATATACAGATCCCAGTTCTTTAAGAAAACACATGAAAAATCATTCAGAAAAATGTGTTAAACAAAAAAAGGTTTCATTTTATTTTATTATAATATTTATTAAATTTTTCAATTATTATTATTATTATAAGTCATCGCAAAGTTCAACAAATTCAGAAGTGGATGATATGTTTAAAGACTACCGAAGTCTGGCATCTTCTTTGAATTCATCGTTCAATAACAGTATTACGAACTCATTGTCCCAGTCGTGGGGAGGCATGAGCTCACAATTAAGCTCATCATTAGTAACACAAAACTTTAATACCAGTGCACCTAAAATGATGAGACCGTTATCAATGGCCAGTTCTTATAATGGCAAAGCTTCTGGTGGTGTTTGGCATAATAATAGACAAATGCATAATAGCTTTACTCACACAAACAGTTTGGCAAATATTTTAGCCAATACTTCAATTCAAGGTCTTACAAATCAACATATATCGAAATTATTGTCACCAATTAATAATGCAAATAACAATCATTTAAATGAGTTTAATGACATTAAGAATAATTCAAATAATATGTTTTAATATAATATTATTAATTTTTATATTATATATAATATTTCTAATACAGTATTATATAGTATACTTTACGATTAGTACAAATACAATATACCATGTATTTAGTGATTATTTATATTCTTAAGTATTATTTTTAAATATTTGTTATTATACTGATTTAATAGTATTATGTGTTTAAAATGTTATTTATTATTGTACCACTTTATTAATTATAATAATGAACTGTATTTAGCATTAAAAGAATTGATTAATAGTAAAATAATTATATTAATTAATATAATAATTAAAATAAAAATTATCGGATTTTTCTATAATTTTCAACATTCTCTGATGTCTTATAAAATCTAAAATAATTCAACAAATCTAACCGTATTTTGTTTAATATTTGCACTAACTTTAGTATCTTTATTAGTCTATAATATTCAAGTGTTTCTATTGTAAGTTATATTTATATTGTAATAATATGATTAAACCTTATTAATAAAGGTTAGTTGCTATTCAAATAAGATCTGAATAATATCATTAATTATAATAAAATTCAAAAATCAATTCATTATATAATATACAATATGATAAATAAATATTACATAAATATAAATAAATTTAATTATATTTGGCACCAATTATTAAAGCAATACCTGAATTGTTTGCTTTAATCGGAATATATGACAAATTCCAAAGCCGTGCGCTTATAATCACTAAACAATAATATTATATATAAATTATATTATAATAACAATTAGATAAAAGACATAAAGACATACAAATTTCATTTTCTTTTAATATATCTTCAAATTGTTGACAGCCTTTGTCAGCGCAATAATGTTTGGCTTCAGCTTTAATCCTGTTTTGTCCTCTAATTTGAATCATCAATAATACTTGAGTTCCAGGCGATGGATCAATCTGTGGTGATATTTGTAAAATTATTGTATTTATAATAATCTAAAAATTAAAATTATTATGATTGTGACCAATTTAAAATGTATTGCCATATAATTGTATGATATGAGTATCCAATTGCCCATGGTCATTTCAAGCATTGGTGGTATCATTTGTGGTCTATTATAATACTTTCTCAATTGTTTTTCTGTTTTTGAATTACAATTTTCCCTTAAGTATTAAAAAATTTATAAAGTTATTTACAAAACTCTACATTAATTTAATTGACTAACCAATGAGCATACCATCCAATGTTTGAATATTGATTTGATTTTAATTTATTTAATAGACTTAAGTGGTCGTTGACCTTAAGATTAGTCTTAAAAAGACATACATTTTTCCAATCATTTTCATCGTATATCTAAAAATATATAAACATAAATATGAATAATAAAAATCTATACAATAAGTCAATACATTTTGAATATGACTTAACGCAAAGTCATGTCTAGCAATGGGCCACTTCTCAATGTCTGCTCTCATCATATCTGATCCAATAATAATTGGGATCTCATTTCTAATATATCTTTCAACAATTAATTCATCCTTAATATCGGATAATTTTTTAAATTGTGTAATATCTTCACACAAATGACAGTCCCATTCGCGTAACTTTTTAAACTCATAAAATGGATTATCCATCAGACATGAAGAATCATACCAACGGTTCCAATCCCAATACGGCTCAACCTATAAGATGTAATTAACTTCAATTATATATTCAATATTGCATTTATTTTTCTTTAAACTTCAATCTTATTGTTTAATATATTTTCAAATTTTTAACATTAATAAGATTAATAAGATTAATAAATTTATAACAAAAATATATTATAAATTGCGTAAAAATGATTTTTCAAACTAAATTGTCTTAAAATTTTCCTAATTTATTGTGTTTATATTATTATAACATTTAAAACGTGTGTTATCTAACTTTTCAATGCTTTGATAGTAACAAAAGTAAACAGAATATATATTTTAATAAGTATTATCTCAACAAAACATACCCGAAATAATAAGATCCTGCCATACATTGAGGACAGTCTACTTATAGCATCAATATGTTTCAAACCATATAATACAATAATTAATGAAATTATTTTTACTAATATCATTAAATATTTCCATAATTTTATTTTAAATAAATACGTTTTCACTACATGTTTAGCAATATCAAGCATTTCATCGTTGGTTATTCCGTTTGATGAATATTTATCGAAAATTGACTTAACTTTTGTGTCAATTTTACTTAAATTTTTTAATTTTGTATTTTCACTTTCAATTGGTTTAGCTATTAAATGATTTAACTTGGTTAAAATATTTGTCCACCACATTTTCATATTAATTATAATCATATTTTATAATAATAGCATTTTACTACTAATGATAATACTTAAAATTATACAGTAATATATCAATATAAAAAATCTTTATCAAAAATTATTGTAATATTAACAAAGAAATAACATTATAGGCTATTCTTACTTTAAGTCGACTTAATTTATATGAAATTTTTTGCGCATTTTTTCATCAGTAACACACATGTGCTGTCCATAAAAATTTCAAAATGTTTAAATATAGTAAAAATTTTATTTATAATATATTGATTGATTAATATAAACAATAAGTTTAATAATACTTGTAATAATTTTATTTAGCAATTAGTAGCAAATATACAATAATAATTTATTATTAAATAAATAAATACAATCTACAATATAAATGTAACTTAATTATTTGATTATTTATAATTTGATTAATAAATAAAAATATTATTAAAAAGTTTATTTATAAAAATTAATTTGCTATCAATAAAATATTTATTAACTTTTAAAAATAATAAACAATTTTAAAAAATTAAATTAATACAATAAATGAAATGTTCACGCGATTAATATTAATCAAATAGGTTTATCTAAATTAACTGACAGTTTAACTAAAATTTAAAAAGAAAAGTAGAGCTCAGGTATGTCTAATGTGTGGAAATGTTGTCGTAGTTGTCGGTGTCCGTGCAATAACACAGATGTATGCGCTGATACAGCACAACATCTTATAGATAAAGGAAACCAAAATATCAATGGTATGCCATCACCTCGTAGTGATCCAGACAATAGGTCACACAACTCTATCCCTACTCTCGACGAATTGATCCGATTGAACGAATTGGCAGATGAGAGGCTCAGAAATTTGTCGACAACAGGTAGCGATCGATTGCAAACACAGAGAAATGATAACCAATTCATCGAAAGTGAGACACAAACTCAGGGCAATCACAGCCAAGAGATTTATGCAAATGAAATACTTGTTCTCAGGAGACGATTACAAGAGGCTGAGCTCAGGAACGCAATGATCGAAGAAAAAGTTGAAAGACTTGAAACTACTCTAAAACAGACCACTTCTGAACGCATCCAACAATTGAAACAACAAATCATCGCTTATATCGACCACAAGTTCACACAATTCATCCAAACTTATCAATTATCCACACATTAGTCAATACACACTATTTATATGACAACACTTTCAAACAACTTATTTATTGTTCAATAAATTTTTAAAATATTTTTTTGCAATTAATAAAATTACTTACAATTATTTTGTAATAATATGAATGTAAAATCAAATTCTAATTATTATAACATACAGTAAATTAGTTTAATTAATACAAAAAAAATTATATTGAAATCTAAATATAGAGAATATAATCAATTGATATATTGTGTGAGTCTATTATAATTAATCATTTTAATTGTTAGCATAAGATATATAGTAGTAAATTAATTTAATATAAATATTAAAAAGATTATGACAATAAAGATAAAATGAAATAATAGCCACCAGTGAGGATCGAACTCACGACCCCTGGTTTACAAGACCAGTGCTCTATCCACTGAGCTATGGTGGCAACGGTTGATAAGTGCACACAAATGTTGTAATTATTGTTGGTTTCCAATAATAAGCAATTATTTACATAAAATATATGAACAAAATATTTGCAAATATAATACAAACCTATCGTTGATTTATAGCACATATTTGGCAAACATTTTGTAGAAACAAATCAATGAATTCAATGAATACGTTAAACATGTGTTGATTTGTTGACAAATGTCTAAAAGTATTGCCGATTATCGCCGATCACTGACTGACTACTAAAATGGCCACAAATTATTCGGACGACGAAAATGACGGACTTCTCGGCACACCATTTGCTCCGTTAGCTGACGACCAGATTGTCAGCAAAAAGCCTGACTTAGATCTAACTGTTCGCGACTCTCGCGGTCGGCGAAGATTTCACGGAGCCTTTACCGGCGGGTTCTCTGCCGGACACTTCAATACTGTCGGATCTGAAGCAGGATTTACACCATCTCTATTCATCTCCAGTCGCAGTCAACGATGGGATCAATCACTTGTTCAACGAAAGCCCGAAAACTTCATGGACTCGGAGGACTTGGATGTGTTTGGAATCGCTCCCAAACGGATCACCACTAAAGACAAGTTTGCCGAACAAGAGTTCGCAGGTTTTCGTGAAAACGATTCACTTATCGATGTTTTGAAATCAGTCATCAAACCATCTGTCGAATCAATTGGTCTTCAATTATATAAACGCATGAAATTGAGTGCAAAAACTGAAAACAAACATAAAGACGATGTGATCTATGGATGTGAAGAACCATTGATAAGGAATTCAATTAATGATTTGAAAAACATATATAAACCAAAAGATGATTTTCATGGCATTGGATATCAATCGATAGCAGAAGGAAGTGATAACAATGAGTCCCGAGTTTTAAATGGCGTTTCGGCTACTCTTAAAAGCGGACGTAAACTAAAAATTTCTGGCGAAGCCTTTGGATATGGAGTTCTTGACGATGATATCGAAGAAGATGCCATTGTTTATCATAAGGATGACTTAACTCAATATGATTTTGAAATTGGTTCCGTTAAACCTGACAATAAAAATAAGAAAAAAGATAAACACAAAGCCATAGATATATTGAAGAGTGATATCATTAAAGGTTTCACTAAATGCTCGACAAAAGTTAATTTAATTCAAAATTTATGTCAAAAATATCCGATTCCTATTTTACCGCATAATTGGAGACCCAATAATCGCGAAACTAAATCACATAATGAACGTAAATCACGATGGGATCAGTTAAAAGTCTCACAAAATACTAGCACTACCGGTAATAGTGTTGGAAGTGATAGTAAATCAAATACAAGTAATCCTGTTTTAAATGCAAATATCAGAGCTATTATTTTAGGAGAAGAAATAATCCATAAACAGGGTTTCAAAAAGATTGAGACTAAAGATTTTGAACTAAATATAGTCAAAGATAAGGAAAAATTAAGTGAAAAGAAAAATGAACCGAATTATAAAAAACCTTTGACTGGGTTTTTTGGCAATAAGTTTACCAGAAGTAGTAATGAATCAGAAGAAAGTACATTAGCTGGAGGTCTGACTGCTTTTAAAGATACAAAAGAAGTTAAAAATACTGAACAAGAAGTCAACAAAAGTGATAAAAGTTTTAAAATCGAGAGAACAACATATGAATGGCATCCACACAACCTGTTGTGCAAACGTTTTAATATACCTAATCCTTATCCACAATATCCTGATGTTGTCGGTGTAGTTACTGTAGGAAAATCTGATGTCAGAAACAGAACATCACATGTAAACGACAAGAAGAATAAATTTAATTTATTTGACAATTTGTTTGACAAACAACTGGTCACAGAATCGTCAATTGATATTTCTAAAGACGAAAATACTAAAAGTTATGAACAAAATTCTGGAACAGCTGTTTCTAAAAGTCTTAACAATAGAGAAACTGAAAACATTGTGAAAGAAAATGAAGAAGAATTGATTCGACCGCCGATTGACTTATTTAAAGCAATATTTGCTTCGGACGATGAAAGTGATGAAGAAAATAGTGATAATAATGACAAAGAAATTAATAATGAAATCACAGAAAAAACTGTCATAACTTCCAGTGACTTAAAGACAACTTCAACACTGAATTCAAGTAAAAGAAGTGGAATTTTTGCTGACATAGATTTCGATCAATTAAATAGAAATTTTACACATGTTTTGCATTCAAATAAAACGCAAAATGATAAACAAATAGAAAGTGTAAATAATTGCGAAATCATTGAAAGTGTAGATCAAATCAAATTAGATCCAACACCTCAACAAAGTGTTGTAAATGATAGTGATATTTATGGTCCGGCACTTCCACCCGATTCTAGTTTTTTAGTTTCTTCTTTCGATAATTCAAGTAATAAATTGATTGATTTCAAAGAGAAGACATCCAAACGCAAGAAAAGTGAACACAAAAAGCATAAGAAACATAAAAAACATAAATCAAATCACAAACATAAGAGACATCGCAGCTCATCAACAGATTCTTCAGATATTGATTTGAAACTAATAAAACATCTGAAAAGTTCTCGTAAATAATATATTTTATCTAATTATTTATTAAATTTAAAGATTATTATTGTAAATAAATTGCTAAATAAATATATAAATTACTTTTATAAATGTCTTATATTTATATAAAAAGATTAGTTAAAGATAACATTAATTAAATACTTGTTTAATAATTTTTATGTTAACAAATATAATAATATTTAACAATTATTGCATTGTAAATCAATAATTATTAATTGTTTTGGTGACCTTCAAATATTTATTTTATGCTAATCATTAATAATTACCATAAGTTACTAAGTTTTGCACTTATTACCAAAAAAATAATAATAATAAATATTTTGTAAGTTTTTATTGAAACTATTTTAATATATTTGATTAGTAAATTTGCTTTAAATTATAATATAAATTATGAGTTTATATTACAGTTGCACACATTTCAAATTGTATACATTTTTTTGCATTAATTAAATCATATGACAAATCAGTTATTTACTAATTTGAAGGAATTGGATTACAAATTAAATATAAATTGATAATATTAATCAATAATATTATTTATTTGTGAATAATATTTATTATATTTGGCACAAAACTTATCAATTTTTCAAATACATTTCAATAACAATTATGAAATTTTTGTATATAAATTTAAATTTACTCAATTAATACCATAAGTTTCAAATCGTTTAAAGATATTCTTTACAGTATTTTTATTCAATAATAGATAATAATTTTTACAATTACTGTAATAATTTAAAACAAGAAAATTTCAACAGAATTTTTTATAACTTATTGATGAGACACAAATGACCTTTACTTGCTATCAATAGAAAAACTATTTCAAATTATTTCATTTATTTTTATATCTTTAATGTTTACTTAGAAAAAATTATCAAGGTATGAAAATAATTGTAATTAATTGTATTTAAGTTTGTTTTTTTTGAAAAAATTGATTTTTATATGGACTCAACATATCTTGTAAAAGAATTTAAATAGCTTTGAGGCATAATTTAAGTGCAGAGAGAGTGCACCTGAAATATATTATTAATCTTTAAATATCTGCTAATTTACGATAAATTATAGTTTTGATTATAGTCATGAATGTTATGATAAAAGCGGATAAAATATAAGTATATGTATTTATTTTAATATAAAAAACATAAATGCTATATAATGGTGACGTCAGTTATTTGGGATCAAATACAGACCGGTATTAAAACAAATGCTTCAAACGTTTAGTCAATTTATTAGTGTTTGAAAGCATAAGTTGAGCGCACGTCTGATAAAAAGCTATTATTGACATTCATTTAATATTCTGTACTAAAAAAATGTCTTCAAATGGAGAAAATTGTAATGGAGTTGACATTAATAGTCAAAATGGGACAAATGGGACAAATAAAGACAATCAAATCACATTTGATGTCCATTTTGCTACCCGTGCTCTACATGCCGGACAAGATCCGTCTCAATGGACTTCACGGGCTGTCGTTCCTCCAATATCTATGTCAACCACTTTTGCTCAATATTCTCCAGGAAATTTTTCCGTAAGTTTTCTAATAATTATAAATTTTATAATTTAAATGTAATTATTTAACTATTATCATTAAATATTAAAAAATTATTTATCTTATGTTAACTATTACTTTATTAAAGAGTATAAAATTGCAGAATAATATTGCATGAATAGGATTGTGTAATATTGTAGTATAATTGCAAAACAATATCATATATTATATTACAAAGCATTCGTATATTTCATGTAATTGTTTCTAAACTTTCATATCATATGAATCGAAAATTTATTTTTTCAGAAACTATATAATACAATAATAATTATAATTAAAATTTATATAAAAATGTTTATTATTAAATAAGCTAATAATTGTTAATTACATTTAAAATTAAACTATAATTAATGTTACAATTCTTTATAATGTCTATAATAATTAATAAAATTTGTTACTATTTTCTAAAAATTAATATTTAAAAACATATCAATATACTATATAAATTATTTAAATTATTAATTTTGTATACAATTAGTATTATAACAAATGCTTTCGACATTTATAGTTTATGTAAAATTTTAATTAATGCCGAAAGCATTTTGCAATTTTCAAAGAGATTTTGTAATTTTTAAAAACTTATTCTGATTTAAAATATTAATCTTAAGATAAGATTCTTTAATAATTTCGTTGTCTTGTATCCAATCAGTTTCAAAATCCTTGAAAAATAGTAATTTTTAATAACTAATATTTTTCAAACTACTATCTAATTTACAAATTTTATGTTACAATTTATTGATAATTCTAATTTTAATGATTGGAATATACTGTATAGGGTTTATAAATAATAAATTTACTCAAAACATACTCTCTATTTGATGTTACTTATAATAAAATAATAATAATTTAATGAATTATTTATTAGTCATAAAATTTAATATATAATCTGAATTGATATTTGATAATAACATTACAATTTATAGATATGATTAGCAATATTGATTATATTGTATAAAATAAAAATTTTCAAATTAAAAAATTAATTAATTAATTTTATAAAGTTATGAATTGATTAGATTAAGTTAAATTAAAAGATATTAATTTACTAAATAAAAAATATCATAATTTAATTGATTAATAGGGTTTTGATTATGGAAGAAGTGGTAATCCAACGCGAAAATGTCTTGAAGAAGCTATTGCTTCACTAGAAGAGGCACAATATGGTTAGTCAGTTATAAATTATAAAATAATAAAATTTAAAATATAATTACTTTTATGTTTCAATACCAAAGCCCTATGTTTTGCTTCCGGACTATCGGCTCAACTAAATGTGACTCATCTGTTGAGTGCCGGCGACCATATCTTATGTTTTGATGATGTCTACGGCGGTACAAATCGTTATTTCCGAACAGTTGCGGCCCGATTGGGTCTTGAAATTAGTTTTGCCGACGCAAGAGATCCACAAAATGTATTGAAAGCTTTAAAGCCTAATACAAGACTAGTTTGGATGGAAACGCCAACAAATCCAACCATGAAATTAGTCGATATTAAAGCCGTAGCCGCTATTGTCAAGAGAGAAGCTCCCGAAGCTATATATGTTGTCGACAATACATTTATGAGCTCTTATTTTCAACAACCATTGTCTTTGGGTGCGGACATTGCTATGCATTCACTGACAAAATACATGAACGGTTAAGGATTAACAAACAATTAATTGAAATTAAATATTTTATTGATATTATTTTTACCATTACATAACAGGTCACGCAGATGTTGTTATGGGCGCTATTGCCACCAATTCAAAGGACATATATGATAAACTCAAATATCTTCAAAATTGTAAGATAAAAGAGTATTTGAAATTTGTCTAATTATTTTTAATTGACTAACTTATTGATTATCGTAAAATAAAAATATTTATAATCAGCACTGGGAGCTGTTCCGTCACCATTTGATTGCTTTTTGGTGAACAGAGGTTTAAAAACTTTGGCTGTAAGAATGGACAAACACCAGGAAAATGGATTAGCTGTGGCGCGGTTTCTTGAATCTCATCCAATGGTCAAAAAGGTGATTCATCCCGGATTGAAGAGCCATCCCCAGCACGAGTTAGCTTTACGCCAGTGCTCTGGCTTTAGTGGAATGGTATCCGCATATATAGAGGGCGACGGAGAGACTGCTTCTGTGTTTATAAAGAATCTGAAATTATTTATTTTAGCCGAAAGTTTAGGATCTGTTGAGAGTCTCATTGAGATACCGGCGCTCATGACTCACCAATCATTGCCTAAGGAAACACGAGAAATGCTGGGAATTAGCGATACACTCATCAGACTGTCTGTTGGTATCGAAGCGACCGAAGACTTGCTGTCAGATCTCAGCCAAGCCTTAAATATTGCGAAAGARTTTTATGATAGAAAAGTGTCGTTAAAATAACATTTATTATATAATTTTATATTTCTTATATTTTATTGCAAATACCCTATCAATTGGGTATCCAATATCCAAACAGTAACTTCTCTGCCATTATTTTTGCTAAAGAAACTGCAATTTACTGTCAATTATTATCAATAATGTTTAACAATATCTGTGCCAATAATTACTTTCTAATATTAAATTTACTGTATTATTAATTCTAAATATTTATATTAATTAATATCTAATGAATCAAATTTGTTAAAATAAAAATATCTTTTTTATCGAAGCTATAACTTATTTGTTAATACAGTAGTACTAATAATTACAATAATTTTATTACCGTATCATTAAGGGAACGGTATGATTGAGTAGAAGTCATCACATTTACTATTTTATACTAGCTTTGTAATTATAAGTATAATAATATCCATTTATTATATAATCACATGTTTTGGTCAACAAAGTGATACATTTATGACTTGTTGTCAGGGCTTTAGCTACTAATGCTATTGTATAGTACATGACATATATATCGCCACAATGTTTATAAAAATGTCAAAATTATTCACTGACTGCAAGTTTAATATCTGTCGAGAGTGTGGTTCAGATATGCCGACTTTTTTCAGTCACCAATGGCTAGCAATTCAATGTCTGAGGAAATGAGAGAAATGCTGGGAACTGACGGCACACTCGTCAGGCTGTCTGTTGGTATCGAAGCCTTGGAAGACTTGTTGTCAGGCCTTAGCTATTGCTAAACAATTTTATGATTCAAAGTTGTCTTCAAAAATACACACATCGTGTAAACAATACCCACATATCTTATGTCTCATATAACCCCTATCTCTATCATCCGGTCCTCTCTATCAACAGTGAATTAATCGTAACATAGACTACCCTCTCACTTGCACTTGTAGTATCACATGCTGTGCTGTGCTTATATAGTAAATGTCTATCCTCTATATCACTGATAACTTCCTAACGTTCCTAACGTTAAGTTAAGTTTAACACAAAAGTTGTCACTCGTTTTCATGATATTTCTTGAGCCAACAGTTTTAGACTAAACAACTAATTTTTGTCAGTTTCAAGCCATACAACAAACAAATGCCATCAAAGAAAAGGTCAGTCCCTTGAACTCCATTCTCCACTCATTTTATTTGAAACAGTTTTTCAAAATATCTTCACAAGTGCTCAATAAAAGCATTTACTGTATAACTGTATACAAGTCTTAATGGTAACAATTATGATATAATCTAAAATACAGTTATATATAGACATATTTTGAGCATTTATTTGTGTCATTGTTTGAGACATTATATGTTAAAATAATTTTATGAAACAACACTTACTTGGGTTTCGTATGGCATAAGATTTGCCGCTTCGGCGCCTTCTTAATGGTTTATCCATAGGCTCGACGGTTAGGCAGTCATATCATATGACTCTTATGGTATCTCTTTCTTTCACTAATCATTTGCTTAACTGATTTCTTGACAAAATTATGTCCAGTTATTAATTTGATAAGTGATACACACTTTGCACTGGCATTACATAGAGGGGTCACTTGAGGTCAATTGTCTGTTGATTTAAACTGCAAACCCATCTCTTGTCTCCTTTTTTTAACTTCTATTTCTTAATTATTTCTCTCTTTTACCACATTTTACTCTCACTTCTATCAAAATAAATGACTTTATTTCCAACTTTTCTAACATGTGTTTCGAAAAATAACAATAAATTAAAAATATTTGTCCAACAATTTACTTAAAATATTTATGTATTTGACTTTATTATTCATTTCTATTAATAATAAATTTTATTTATTTCTTTTAACAATTGAGTTACGGTATAATATTGTAAATTAGTTAAGATTAATATTATTAAATTATTTTATTAATAAAATATAATATATTTATACTGTTTTAATTTAATCAATTTTTAAAATTAACCTAAAATATATTAGCTTAAAGTACAAAAATCGTAATACGAATCACTTATTTATTTTATATTAATTTTAAATTGTAATAAAACACTTGAATTTTTGTTGTATAAATTGTCGATAAAAATAAAAATGATTTGATATTGAAATTTTAATGCTTTATTAAATGCTAATAACAATAATCAAGATTTTCTTTACAATAAAATGATTGATTTAAGGGAACGATATTATTGATGACTGGTTTTATAAAAAAGAGTTGCAAAATGTGATATTCATTGATATGTTGACTTTATAACAACTATAATATTGACATTTTTAAATAGATATTCATATAAAAGTTATATAATAATTTGAATATACTATTGGATATATATATATAATTTCTTAAAATTGTAGTTTATTTCATTATTATTATACATAATAATAACTTTTATATTAGTTGACATTTAAATCAAAGGTGTCATTATTTTATATATAATATATAGATCTCAAAACTTTATATAAAAATATACGAATAAATATAGAGCAGCTTTAAAATACAGTAGTAAATACAGTACTGTTGTGATAGTATAGGTAAACATTGCAAAAATGTAACGTTTAGTGTCTAAACACTAGTTATTGTTTGATTATATAATAAGCGGTTAATGTATAGTCTATTATAGTGTAGGAGTATTTGCAGTCGAGTTGAGGCACTTTCAGTCATTTAGTCTGTTTCTTATATATCATATTATAAATATAAATACATATCTTATTATATAATACTTATATTAACGATTATTTAGATATCAAATATGACATAACTACTAAAACTGAACTATTTTATGTTTGGCAAAAATCGCTTATTTGAAAACTACAATAATATTGGTGAACAATGTAAAACTATGCATTTTTTGGGTAATTTGACTATTAATATTTGTAATATTTTTTAATCTATAGATTTATTATTAACTAATTATTATAGAATAATTGTTATAAATTAATTATATCTCGAAATAAATTATAAGCATTTTTTAGTAGAAATTATTGAAATTAAATATATATTTAAGATATAGGGTTAATATTATAAATGAAAGACTGTTTAATCATTGTCAGTTTATTTTTGAGATATCAATTTTTTATAATATGTTTGCCTAAAAGTTGACATTTTTGACAGCAATTGGATGCAAAACATAAGTTAACAAATGTTTAATTGACTTTATGATAATTATTGATTACCTCTTGTACATAATGTTTTGCTTAAGATTAACAAAATGTTTATATAATTTAATTAAATAATTATGAATCTTTTACAAAATCAATAATTTAATTGTTTTAATTACATTTTAAATGAACAATTTTAATAAAACTTTTATTATAAAAACCTGATATTTATGAATAACTAAAACAATTGCAAATATAAAATAGCTATTAATGTAAAATTACTCAACAATAAAATTAAACATTAAACTAATATGTAATGAATTAAATATTTAATAATTTATTTACATTAAACGTTAAGTTCAAAATGATTAAAATTATTTTTTCAATAAATGAAATCTTTATTTTAACAAACATTCAAACATTAGTTTATCAATATTATAGATATTTTTAAAAATATATTCAAGCAATATATGTATTTATTGAAGCTAATATCGTATCAATAAATCAAACATCATTAAACACTAAACAATTAAATTACATTAAGTATTAAATAAAGTCAATTGTAAATTATTGATAAATATAATATAAACATAATTAGATTTAAGTGTTACACAACTATTATATTACAAATTGTTTTGTGAGAGTCAATGATATTTTGCATTTAGTGGCAAATTTTGTTTGTATAGAGTATTTAATGAATAAAAGGGATCAGAATTTATTATTTGATTATATGAAATATAATCATCATATAATATATGGCACATGTTATGCTAATATTTGTGGTATCACTGGTATGTATAGCTTTGATGCCTAATCTTTTAATATAACATATTATTCAATTACACAAATAATCTCATACTGTACTGTATTTTCCTCACATATGGCTCTTATGATATAATAGTAATAATAATAATAGTATTAATGCTAATAATAATAAAATAAAATAACTTTATATGTAATTGTGTTATATTTTCTCATTATTTACTAAACTTTAATCAATCATTATTATTAAAGTCTAACCTCTCACTTCTGCATTACTCTATTTATATGACTGAATGCGCTTAACTAAATGGGAGGAGAGTTATCCCTCCCTAAGTCATAACTGAGCCAATTGACAGCTACCGATGCCACTCAATAGCCGCCTATCCATTAGTTGCATACAAAAGAAGATAATCAGAGAATCACTGATTGATAAGCTTAGGCTTGAGTTTAAGCGCTTAGGGATATATTTCAATTGAACTGTTGATACCGTGATGTGACACTTCTTAATCCATATTTGTTTAACACTTCAAACAATTTAAAAATGGATTTAAGTTTTGCTTCGTCTTCGGCACCCTTTCCTCATTACGATCACCAGTCAACTCATCGACTCCATGCTTACCGTACCAGATATGACACAACACCAACAATGTCTATGTATGAACAATCAGGTAGTTATTATTCAAAACAAAACTGGATGACTGCCGGATACTCGACACCACCTATTAGTCCGATAAAGACATTCAATTCTTATACAACAGAAAACAAATGCGATAATTATTATCAAACAGAAGAGTTGCCGAAAATAGAGCCCTTAGAAGACTTGAATAACAATAACTTGACGGTCACTAACAGTGACGGAAGTGTCACTAAATATATAACAGACAGAACTACAGGAGTGGTCAGAGTTGTCAAGAGAAGAGTGACGGCAAACAAGAAAGAGAGGCGACGGACGCAATCAATTAACAGTGCGTTCGCCAGTCTTAGAGATTGTATACCTAATGTTCCCGCGGACACCAAACTGTCCAAAATTAAGACTTTACGGTTAGCCACCAGTTATATCACTTGGTTGACTGCCATTCTTGACGGACCAAATGATACACGACTTAAACTCATGAAAGAGGGCTTTCGTGCTGACCTACCGTCGACTCATAAGAGAAACAATAGAGACAACTATAAGGTTTGCATATTTTTAACATTTTCATATTTACCGTACATTTAATTTATTACTTTTATAATTACATCGTCACAAAAAGTTTTACTTTATTTCATGTGTTTAATCTATATATTAATAGCTATACATTTTAGAAATGATTCAATTTATGAAAAATCAATCTATAGGTTCAATATTGATGACAAATTATAAAAAGTTAATATTAAGTAATATGTAAATAAATTTTCTAATCAATATGTAATGTCTAATATACCATATTATAAATATATACAGTATATCTCAATAAGTTTTCTTATTTATGTAAAATAAATTAACTTTAATTGATATAAAAACTTTTAATTAATAAAAGCTGATAAAGTGGTGACAAATGTATGCTTAGTTAAAAAGCTAAGTAAGAGATATATGTCTGTCAAAAAAAAGTGTCTCTTATAGAGAAACAGTTAGAAAGGCTAACAAAAAAAGCTTAACTAATATGTTTGTGTTCATTGAACTGTTTTATTGCCTGTCCGTAAAAATGTGTGTAATTGGAGACCAACTGAAGCCCAATCGTAAGCATATTTTTGGTCCCACACATCAAAAGCAATCGTAAATTTTTTTTTGTATTTCATATACAGTATATTATACATAGATAGCAAAGTAACAGTAACTCTACGTTAACACCAAAAAAATCTGGACTTAAGTTTCAAAAGAATTCTCAATATATGCAAAATAATTTGTTTGCAGAGAAAAATAGATATTATTTCTTAGAGACACAAAATAGTGAAATCAAAATCAAAAATCTTTTTAGACTAATTGCTTATACTTTTAAAACACTATACTTAACTTTTAGACTAATTATCACTAATGTGTCTCTCATTTTCTAAAATATTTTAAAACATAAACACTAAACCATTTAAAGCCATAGAAAATTAATTTTATTTTTGATTGTTTATTTAATAAATTTCTATTTAAAAAATTGTTTCACTTAGAGATTTAAGAAACAATAATTTATTAGTTACAAATGATTAAGTTTAGTACTCAATTAATATAATACTACTGTTTTAATATATTATACAGTATTATATTAATACAATAGTATATGAAAATACAGTAGATTTTGATACATAAATCAAAATTTAGCGCACAATTTGATTAAATTCTTGTTATTTAATAAATTGAAGACATAATTATAATTGATTATTGAAAACAATTTGTATGATTGTGTTATACTCTCTTTTATCACTAAATTAGGATCTGATAAAAATAGGCACTTCTATGCCATGCAATTCACCAAATACTATACAATACAAGAGTAACGGAAAGGCCAAATGTAAAGTAAGGACGGGATGGCCTCAAGCCGTTTGGGTCGAACAGCTCGAACTCAAACAACATGACAACCAATAATACAAACCAATCATTTGATTCATTATTATCACATAATTGTATTACAAACACATTATCAAATGATATACACTTTTAATTAACACTACTATAATCTAATGTAATTTTTAGTTATATTTTCAAAAAATTTATAATACATTTCTTTTTATTACAAAATCATTGATTTTGCACATATTATACTTATATACATACAAGTATTATATAATTTAAAAATTTATTGGTGCAGTATATTGATATTTCATATAAATTTTAGAGGATTATTATGTATAGAAATTTATGTAATTATTAAATAAAAATATATATTAAAATAAATAAACATATATTTAGTAAAAAAGATTATGTCATATTTATAAATTATAATCATATCTATTTAATAAATCTAATTGAAATATTCTAATACTGTATATAATGAATATATATCTACATTGGTATACAAACTAAAATAGTAATAAACAAAACTTTGTATTATGTCTTACAATGAATTCAATAAACTTAAGCATATATCTAATAATGATAATAAAATTTTTAAAATACAATTAAACTGGTTTTTCTATTTAAAAAATGATATAATAATATTTAAATATTTATATTATTAGAAATATATATATATATATATATATATATATATATATATATATATGTGTGTGTGTGTGTGATAATAATAAATTATTTTGCCGACAATATAATAATAATAATAAAATTTATCAATTGGTGGTTTTTTCCAGTAATAAGATATTTAATTATATATCTCAAGCATTACTGGATTCACTCAATTTGTATGGAAACGAATAAAGTTAGCAATTGTTTGTCAAATTATATAAAATAAAAACAAATAATCTAAAAGTAGGCATTCATTGAGGGACTGGAATAGGAAAGGGATGGGATTTACAAGAATTAAAGTATTGTTGTATATAAACATATATGAGATGAGAGGGAATGCATACATATTATGTATATTAGAGCATAATATAAAAGTTTATATTTGAGTTAAACTCTCTGTATTTGTTTATATTGAGTGTAGAGAAAACTTTTTATAATCAAAAAAAAGCCTCAAAAACGTAAGCAAATTAGAGATTTATTATCTTTTAACAAACTAATTATTTTTTCAATTTATCAAACAATTTGTGAACATCATTTCTATCTGCTTTTTCTATATTTCTCATAAAATATTTGATAAAAATGATGGAAAAGCATTACGGCTTTTGAATAAACAAAGTGCTATTCAATGCTTTTATACTGTAATACAGTATCAGTTTATTTGGTGGGATCTATACATATCTCTATGTGCTATCTATACGCAAATGTATACATACTCTATAGTATTTGGAGAGTCACTGGAGTCTAGTTATAATGTTTTGTAGATAACGATATACTCTATACTTTGTTATGATCTATAGAGTAGGGATGAGAGCGCAGTCACTATTGATTTCTAATGTATGTAAGCCATAGATTTTATGCACTGATAATGTTTAGCCATAAAACAGATCACATTTGATAATTAGATTAATGCTTAATGTATAGTAACTTAAGTCAGATTTGATTTGAAAATTTAATGTTAAATTTTAATAACTTTATTGATATACAGTACAAGTTATGCATTTTGATAGCAGTTAACTATTGTTTTCTATAATTTACTTTAGTAGTCAAACACTATAAATATTAATAATACTTAAATTGAATGTATTTGAAAGCAGGTGTATTGTAAACAATTTCTTTAATAGCTAATAATGTTATAAAGTTATAAATACTGTATACATTATAAATAAACATTTGGTTAAACCGCTGTTTTAATGAAAGACTTTACTTTCTTTAAATGAACTCTCTCTCTCTCTCTCTCTCTCTCTCTCTCTCTTCTCTCTCTCTCTTCTCTCTCTCTCTCTCTCACTCACTCACTCACTCACTCACTCACTCACTCACTCACTCACTCGCTGTTATTGAATATTAAGACAATATATAAACGACGAGATAATAAACTAAATAAACTGAAACTCACAGGAAGTCTTGGAAAAGATAATTATTACAATTTATAAACAATAGATTAGTTAATTACAGTTTATGTTTATTTTTAGAACCATTTCTTATTAATTGGAAAAATCAATTTTGTTGCAAATTTTTATACCAAAACTTATGTAACTATAAACTGATACTTTTTATAAGTTTTCTAATTTAACAATTGTTACTAAACTAAATATATAATTAAATATTAAATTTCTAATCATTTATGTCAGATAATATAAAAGTCTTATTGTAGACTAAAATAAAATAATAGAAAAATTATGATACTTTATAACATAAATATCTTACTTTAGATGTCAAAACTGATAAAATGTCACAAATCTATAATACTGTAATATAAAGTTTATCTATTTTCCGCTTTTTTACAAATTTAACACTATATTTATGTTTAAAAATCATTTTTACAATATTTTTCATTTTTTTAAATTAATTTTTAGAAAATCTTCGATAAAAACTTTGGAATGAGTTATTAGTAATGACACAAATTGGTAAATCAAACAAATAATAATAGCAGCAAAAATATGTATTAAATATAAAATATAAAATGAATATATATTATTTTATAATCAATTATGATTAAATTTTTAATTTTTATATTTAAAACAAATATATAAAAATTATTTATCTGATCTATTGGATGGTCTAAAGTACAATATAAGTGCTAATATAGTGAAAACAAATGGCAAGAAAGTAAATGCAAAAATTAGTGGTAAATTGATTTCGTCTTTTATAAAACTGTATTTATAAGAGCGCTTTCGTCTCGTAACGGGAATGTTGGTCAGCGCCAGTCCATCAGTGTATGCATTGTCCGAATAGACAACATTTCCACATTTGTTTTCATTGACTATTTTAATGCAATAGCCATTAGACTGGAGATTGCAAGAGTTGTGTTCAAAGATGTTATCACAACCGCCCATATCTAATGTGAGGTCACTTTTCAATAGGTTATTGCTCTCCAGGGGTCGCATTACCTAAAATTATAGTCAATTGATAGTAATAGTAATTATTTCTTTATAGACATAACCACTAAATAATGACAAAATGATGGAAATCATACCATAAATCCTTCGCTTACAGTAGACTTTCCCCTATTATTTTCAATGCGATATCTGTCTCCTTTAATCTTAACCCAACAGCCGTAACCATTGCTGTGATGCATACCATTGCCGTCAAAGTAATTTCGAGCTAATAAACCACAACACGTGCCCTCATTGAGAACAATAGCCTCGGTTGAGAATCCCGGTCCCAATCGATTATTAATAACAACATTACGGTCACTTTGATCGGGTTGTCCTCTATACCAATGCCTAAAATCTCTGCCAAACACTATAGCCTCTCCGTGTGAGGCAGACTTAAGGCCTGTCATAGAAATACTGGTCTCACGGATAACATTATCACAGCTGTCATCATATAAATGAATGCCTTCTTCATCCATATTTTCAATCTTTAAGTTTTCAACAATATTATTACTCGATCGCTCAAAAATCATGCCTTTCCTCGAGTTCTCAATTAGAAAGCCTTTTAAATACCAATAGTTTGCTCGTTTGAAATGTAATCCAACGCCTTCACGGTTTGAGATAATTGTTTGTCGATTGCCTTTAAGTATAATCATTGCATTAGCGGATCCACTCTTTTCCGTACGAAACGGACCCTTAAATGTGGCGTTTCGTAACTCTATTATATCTCCCGGTTTTACTTTGCTTATGGCATGTATTAGTTGCGATGATGTCGATGCTATAAATGTACGACAATTTATATTAATAATTAGCACATTAATTACAATTACAAAAACATTAATTTTGAAAAGATTATGCATATTCAAATTTATTGTAAAATTAGTATAATATTTAAATTAGTACATTATAAATTAAACTATATAGCAATTTATATGTTATAATATAAAATATCGGATCACATTGAATTCAATGAACTCAAAATTATAATAAAAAATATTGACTCCAATTGTCTATATTATGAATTATATTTATACATATTTTCTATCAAAAATGTTTACCAAAGCGTTAAAATGAGGTCTTTATGAAGATAATCAAAATGTACTAAATTAATAAATTTAATATTTTACACATTTATTGAATTATTGATTTTATATTAAGACAAACTAATTAATTTTATACACAATATGTTAAATAATACAAGTATTTATTGGTTTAAAAAATTTTATAATAACAATACATAATAAAACATTTAAAGAGATGGGACAAAAAAAATGATAGTTTATTAGAAAATTTTTAATTAAACTTGGTCATTTGTTTTTTAATTGAGGAATAAAAATAAGATCATATGTTAATAATATAAATAAATTTATTAAGTGTATTGAATTTATTTTAAAAATGTTTTTTTTCTTTATGTTTATAGAGTTAGAGATAATGAAATAACATCCCTATGCTTACAAATATTAAAGAATAGAGTTGTCAAAAAAGAGAATTTTCTAAAGTAATAGAGAAATTTCTGGAAAGATTCTAAAAGAAATTTCTGTCTATGGAATCCTAATATTAATTTTGTTCTCTCGATATTTGTTATTTTGAAACAATTCATTATTCAATACACATAACTATAATATTAAATAAATTTTATTATTAGTATTTTAATTAATATTCAAAGTAAAAAATAATTCATTTAATTAAACTAAATTAAAAATATAAAACAATTATAAATAAAATTTTACAAAAAGTAATTATAATTAAATAATTATATTTATTTTATAAATAAGAATCCCATTAATATACAGTAGTAGTGTAGTGAATATCATGTAAATTTAATTCAGTATTACAATAGCTATAGATATGGGGATAAAACAACTGAATATTTCCCATTTTATGGGCTGAGTATATGAACAATAGTACACACATACACACATACACACATACACACATACACACATACACACATACACACATACACACATACACACATACACACATACACACATACACACATACACACATACACACATACACACATACACACATACACACATACACACATACACACATACACACATACACACATACACACATACACACATACACACATACACACATACACACATACACACATACACACATACACACATACACACATACACACATACACACATACACACATACACACATACACACATACACACATACACACATACACACATACACACATACACACATACACACATACACACATACACACATACACACATACACACATACACACATGATTTCTTTACAAAATTCAAATAAACAAAAAAAAACAATTAATAGTATAAATAAATTTTGTTAATAAAATTAAAAAATTAATGTATATAATATAATATTATAAATTTATAAAGTTATGTAATACAAATAAATAATAGAAATATTTTATTTACTCAAGTATTAAAACTTAAAAACTTTATTTAGAATAACGTAAATATTATTATATAATAAATTAATATAAATTTAATAGTTTTTAAATTATTGAAATTCGTGTTTTACAACTATAATCTATAAAAAATATTGTTGTTTTAGTTAAATAGTGATCAAACAAATTAAAAATATACCAATACATAAAATAATATGTTTTTAGATACAGTAAAATAGACGACGAAGATAATTGAAATTGTTTTTAGTTATAAAAGTTAAAATATAGTGAAATAATAGTTTAAATATGTCTAATGTAAGACTAGTGTCCCGTATTATAACCCGCATACTGTCGATGACCAGTAGGGGTAACATTTATACAACTCCTTTGGATACTTTACCCAGAATTCATATCGACTCCTACTTGATATCACTGGGATTGTTATGTCAGAGATTTGAAGGCAAAGGACCGGGAGAAAAGACATTCATTAAACGAAGCTATCAGTGGTTACTATTTATATTGGAGTGGTTTATGCTCTTCAAGTGGGTTCTCAGTTCTACACTTCCCGATGATAATCCATATTTATCATCGATAGCATTGGGCGACTTCACTAAGTATTTAGATGGCGACTCATTTGATTATCACTTTGTTTTAATTATATGGTCAGTTGCCGGTGCATTCATGTCAACATTGTTTACACTGGCCTCAGGACTCGGTTATATGAACATACAATGGCTCCGACCCTTTGAGATCTGCAAAGGCAAAGTAACGCCGGAAAGTTTGGATATGAATGTTGACGAGGCATCAGAAACGTGGCAAAGACTTATATTTGCTCTTTGGGTGACTAAAACTGTTAACAGAATCCTAACAATGGCCACTATTATTGCAATTGTAAATATATTTGCCAATCGTTGGCCTGAAGAGCACTTGTATCCGGTGGGTATAATCTGGTCGGTGGTCATCATTATATGGGCCTATTATAGCATTTCGATGCACTTCACAGTTATGGCAATATTTCATATGATTTGCTTCTATTTTCTCATCAAATTTCGTAAACTTAATGAATTGGCCCTTAAATTAGAAACGGTTCACAAATTGGAGTTAATGGTAATGCATAAGAAAGTAACCGATTTTATGGTCACTCATAACAAGTACACCCGAGAGTTGACACTATATAACAAATTTTGGCAATTTTATGTCTGCAAAAACTTTTTCATCAATACGACAACCATTTGTTTCCTAATTCAAGTCATAATATTCAAAGACATGACTTTATTCATTAGACTATTGCTTTTGTTTTCAATCTTTGGTTTTGCGTTTACATTGATCTTAACTGCGTTTTCTGCCGGAGCTGTTTCTGAACAGGTATTTTGTATTGTATTTTAATATTCTTACAAATTATATGATATATTAAAATTAATTTTCATTATTATAGTTAATATAATAAAAAAGTAAATGACTATAATTTGATTTTAAGATACACGAGTCTTACGGTGTGTTAAATGCTGTTTCGCAAAATCACATGCCTTTGGTACTGAAGACTCAGCTCCAGATCTACATCCAGCGTATCGGTGGACCTAAAATGGGGTTTAGCTGTTGGAATCTCTTCACTGTCTTCTACGACGCCTTCTTTCAGGTAATCTTTTTATTAAATGTTATGATTTTTATTCATTATATTCATTATAATTATAAATTACTAATTAAAGGCAATTCTTATGGTCGGATCATTCTTCTTGCTCTTCATGGATGTGATTCAATCAGAAAAAAAGAAGATACACTATCCTTATGGTTATACAAACTAATAATTTAAAGTTATCTATCAATACTATCAATCACTCAATTTGTTGGATTATCAATAAGTATTTTGATTTTTATTAGATTTATTTTTCAATATTATTAATTTAATAAATATTTTAATATACTTTATTAATTTACATTATAAGTATTCAGTATTAGCTAATAATATCAATTATTTTTTAAAAATGATTTATGTTCAATTAAAATATTTGAGCATACTCATTTTTATATAATTAGATTAACAATATATCAATACATAATAATAATAAATGTTTATTTAATTACTGTTATAACAATTATTTCTTATTATTATAAATCATAGGTCACTAGTTAGACCACATCATAGACCATTGGTGTCAAAAGTTAATAAATACCATAATATAAGGAGAGTATCTTAAAACTAGTAGAAATCAGTCTTAAGATAGTCTCTAATATAAGTTTAAAAAATCTTTTCAAAACCCAAAAGCATATCAAAACTATTGATATATCTATTCTGAACTCTTGTGTTAATCAATTGCATTCAAATAAGCAAACAAAAAGTACAGTAGTATTAGAGTCAAAATAGTTTCTCAATACAGTATTGCATATATTTACTTTTATTTTTATTTCTTAAACGTATTTAAAATTAATAGTTAAATCAGAGTTTTATTAGATTTGTAAATTAATCAAAATAATAATAATAAAATTTAAGATCAATAACACTGATTTAAAATACACAAATATATTGTTTAACAGTTTAATTTAAAGTTTAGATATTGCACTTAAAATGTGATTTGAATCAATTGATGACATGTTATCATTTATGTCTTGCAAATAATATGCTGCTTTTCGTCCACTTAGAAAAGCACCATGCACAGTTGAATAAAAGGACGGGTGGGTGGCCTCACCAGCAAATAACATAATTGGCTATAAAATCAAATTATGTTAATAAAGTATTAATTATTTTTAATATTGAATTTTAGTTATAATTTAGTTATACGATAAATTATACGGTATTGTATAATATTATACTGTATTATTAAAAAATAATTTATATATTCATATAAATTCATATACTGTTTACAATATCTGTTACAATACTGTTTTATATATTGATTAAGTAAATTGAAAAAGTGTTTTATCAAATAGTGATTAAATATAAACTAATAAATGATATGAAATTAAGTTAACAATCGATACATTGATTTTTGACTAATAAACTAATGTTTTAAATTTAAGATAATGTAATGAATAATATGAAATCAATAAATACCTTATCATTAGCCGGGTCTGCATATATTGGTTGAGATAAGAGCTCAATGTCGCGATTAGAAGAGTTGGTTGGTATGTATGAGTAGGAGCCACAAGAAAACGGATCACTTCCCCAACGGGTCACTACTATATTGTCTGCTTTCGGCAATTTTGAATTATTAAACAATTGCTGTAATAATTGACTCAACTCTTCATTGATCTCTTCATTGTCCATCTTTTCGAGTTCAACTGCCTCTTTACCGGACGCCCACAATAGTAGACAATGGTTTGTTATCTTTGAAACTGAATATATTTTTTGGAAACCTTTACATTTTGGAGGATTTTTCTCGTCCCACAAAACTATGGTTTCATCAACACTGACATCAATAAAGTTATTTAGTGGTAAACTATACTCGAGGAATATTTTGTTGACAGTTCCGAAACCAATTGCATTGATTGCATCCATTTTATATTGGGGTAGTTTGGGCTCAAAGAGATTCTCAGATTCTTTTTTTAAGACACCTAATGGTAAAGTAATAACCACATGATTTGAGGTATAAGTTGATCCATTATCACAAATAACTTGCACTTTAGGAGGACTGCCATCAGGAGTGATAGTCTTCCAATTGATTTTACTCACTCTTTGATTCTTTAATATACTTAACTGTTTGCCATCAATTAGATTTGATTTGTCTCCCAATTTGGATTTTTTGGAGACATTGTCATCAATTTCTTCTAAAATACAATTAAGTATTTTATTGAATCCCTTCGGAACAGTTGTGTTACCGCCGGGAAGTTCAGTATAGGAACCAAAGTCTTTGAGACTCATTTCGTTCATTGAATGACAACCCGATATACAGGTCTCTCTATTAAGTAGTGTATTGAATACACTTTTTCTTAATTGTTTTCCTTCTTCGTCAACATCTTTTAAGCTCGAAATCCATGAATCGATGTCCGCTTTTAATCGTTTTCCAACTGAATTATCATATCTGACGGTTCCCTCCAAGTCTTCAATTTGAAAATAATTTTCGCATTTTTTAATAAAATAAAAGTATGTCCGATACACCTCTTCAACCAAATCAATGGGCGGAAGTTCGGTATATGGGGGTTGCCCGAGCGAAGCGAGGGGAGCATATATAGATACCTTGGGTTATAAGGATTATATATATATACATGTCAATGGCCGGAGGTGAAGGGTCAAGAAGCTGGAGAGGTCATTACATATATATGATATATATATATATAGTAATATACACTACATTTTTGTAGTGTTTCTTTATAAATAGGTTTAGGTTGCGAGGCCTACACCAGGTTAGGTAAAAGGGGTATTGCCCGAGCGTAGCGAGGGGGCTTAATGTATACCCAGGATATACATATTATCAGGGTTTTAAATGTGGCAGGAATAAACAATAGATGCAAATTTTGCCAAATATAAACCCTTTATAAAACATTGTTTTTTAAAACCCTGCATATGATACATTAGCAGTGCAGGCATCAAACTTGTCTACCCGTCACCAAATAACAATTTTTAATGTAAAAATTGAATAAAATTAATTGAATAAAAAATAAAAAATTTAAAAAAATATATTTTTCTTTAACTTCGGCCATTGATATTTGGTGTAGTGATACCCTCCCTCCTAAACTTTAAAACCCATACTCTAAACCCCCCCAATTCCGCCCCCCAAATTCCGAACCCCCGCCAATCAATGTCCAGTTTATTACCGGTCAGAGTCCGGGCCTCAACCAAATGTTTTCCAGAATTACCTGAATATTGATCAATAAGTTTATGTTTGAGAGCCAAATCATAGATAGGATTTCCCATAATTCCGTGGATCCAATTGGCACCCAATTCTATCCTATGGTTCTCATATTTGGTAAATGTCGACGTTATCCGACCACCAATACTGGGCCGCGACTCTAATATTATTATCCGACCGGAAAATTCATTGAACAGTAAATGATAGGCAACACTGAGTCCACTAATACCACAACCTATTATAATGACATCACTGGATACTTGAGAGTTAGACATTGTTTTTTAATTATATGATTATTAAAGGTAATAATAGAGACTAAACTTTTAATTATCTTAAATTTCATACATTTATAATGATTTTGTATGAGGTATGAGACTAAATGATTCAATATTTTCACATATCATACAATATTATATCATTAGATCCCTATTTGTGTTGCTATGCTATGGTTGTCGTTGTTTTTCTGCTACTTCGCATGACTTTTAGTTTTGTCGATATTTTTGAAAAAAATTATTGAAATCACAAGTTATGTTAGAAAACTAGTTTATTTTTTAATAAAAATGTTCAAATATTTTTGATGATAATAAGATATATACCGTAATCTTAAATTTAATTTTTTAAGAAAAAGTTTTTATGTATTTTTTGAAAAAGATATTGACCTGTATTTTTAGTCCTTGAATTTTTCAATAATTTTCATATAATTTATATTATTTTCATGTTATACAATACTTGTACAATTACTGTACAATATAGACATGCAATTTATAATTATACAAAAATATTTTTTAATACAATAAATTATTTGTAATAATAAAATAATAAATAATAACTTTGCATTTTGTTTGAAGAGATTATTCAATTATTCTATACTAAAAAAATAGTTTTTAAAATTGTAAGATGGAAAATTTTATTATTTTTAAAATTTTTATCTATAAATCAACAATTATATAAAATACAAATAACATCATAATTCATGAAATCAATTAATAATTATATTTTTTAGATAAGCAATGATTATTTGAAAAATACATATTAAATAAACATATTTATTCATATGTCAGATTACTATCTAAATTTAATTATATAAATCAATATAAAAATGAAAAAACTATTTATAATTTAAGTTACAACTATTGATATTTCAATAAACATGAAGTCATTGACAAAAATAGCGATTATTTTGTCAATTTTAATGTTACTTGAAATAACAAAATGTGATAATAATGGCCGACATATTACAGAATCCCATCGAAAAACAAATACAAAACTAAATGATGGCTATAATGATGACAATGAAGATAATGATGACAATAATGATGACGATTATGAAGATAACAATTCAGACCAAAGTGAAGACATTCCCATTAGATTAATAATTGTCGGCAAATAATATTGTATTCATAAGTATTCTATAATTTCTTAAATTTCAACAAATATTTGTTTTTATTTTATATTTTAATAGTTTTCTAAATTTATTATTATTATTATTAACAAATATATTTTTAAATAATTAAATTGTTAGTAGATATACAGTATTTTTAATAATTATATTTTATAGTATTACTGTTTAATTATTCATTTAATATATTAACAATGTCTAAAATATGTAATATTTAATTTATAAATTTTCAGTAAATATAACATTTTATTCAATAATAAAAACTATTTTTTTCGCTAAATATTTAATTATATCTGTTTAATAGTTTCACAATAATGTTTGATATTAATTGTATAAATTTTTATTATATTTTCATGCAATGAACAGTATTTGTTTAAAATGCAATTGCTTGCTATTTATTGCTTTTTGAAATTTTGTAAAACATTTGGTACAGTATATCAAAATTAACAATAACAATATAAAAAATAATTATATAAAAATATGTGTACAAATTTAACTATTTATTGTTTGATTATTTTGAGCCCAATCGGGAAATTCATTTAAATCAAACATAGGAATGCCTATTAACCACAAAAATATTAACATAACTGAAAGTGATAATATTTTAGTAATTATACCGGGAATGATCTAAAAATATATTAAATTTATTAAATATACAATAAAATTATATAAAATGTAATTACAATACCATATCTGACTGTAAAAGTCTTGCATGACTGGATACCAGTGCATTWGCAGGCGTTCCCACTGGTAATACAAATGCATAGGAACACGAAAGAGTGATTGGAATCAATAGGAATAATGGATTTACATTCAGATTTGAGGCCTTTAAATACAAAAATTATAATTTTATATAATAAGTAAATTAATTTAATTTAATTATAACAAACCAATTGTCCGGCAATTGGCAAAAATATTGAAGCAATCGCTGAATTAGAGGCAAATTCAGTGAATATTGTGGCTAATAATGACATTATGACGATAATACCAAATAAAGAAAAGACATTTAATTGAAATAATTGGTCACCGATTGTCTTTGTTAAACCACTCTTCTGTTATATTATTTACAATTAATTAGTTTTATTATATAATTATTTCATTTAATAGTTAACAAATAACTAACAGTTGCCACATCGGCCATAGAGAATCCACCTCCACGTAATAGGAGTACCCCCCAGGCCAACTTCTTTTCAACCATTGGCCAACTCAGCAAAGCTGGTCCCGTCAATGAGTTCTTCGGATCGGACGGAATGAAAAACATGATCACTACTATGAAAACAGCTGCCGTCGCGTCTTTAGGTTTACTGTTGTTTAAAACATTTTTAAAAAATAATTATTAAGAAATTGATGTATAATGTGTAATGTTTTTACATATTGTTAGAGATAACTGTTGCCCAACCATTCATAAATTGTGGATCTCTTAGTATCCATAATATAATAAGTGAAACAAAAAGAAAACAAACGGCGCTTTCGTGGAAACTAATGGAACCCAAGTCTTCATATCGCTCTTTGATTATATGTTTCGACGCTTTTGTTATTTGCGAAATTGCATTATCCCTATAGTTATGATTAATAATTTATTATATTTGTTTAAAATAATTTTTTTAAAATTAGACCTCATATACAAAACTCTGAATATAATCCATAAAACGACAACAGTGATTATGGTGGGTGTTATGCAAAATAAAAGCCAATTTGTGTAATCAACTGGTGGTAAACTTTTATATATACTAGTAATTTAAAAATAAAAAATTATTATTATTGATACTTATTAAATATATAATATTAAACATGATTAACATACTCATCCAATACAAATCTCAACACCAAATTTGGTCCATTACTTGTTAAAGTAGTTGTACCTCCAATAGTAGCAGAATATGCAATACTAATATATAACAATCGTCTTAATTTATCATTTTTGGCACCAATTTTTGAAAGTTTTTTATTTACAAAATTGATTTCATTGTCAACTATTAAAAAAATTAGATTTTTATTATAAGCATTAATTAAATTAATATAACAAATTAAAGACATACATTTAACACTGATATTGTTGTGATTAATTGAGTCATCAATATTACTTGTATTAAGTCTTACATTATCATTATATTCATCTTCGGTGAGTATTTCTTTGCTGATGACATCAGCGATGGGCAAAATCATAGCAGTGGCCGCTGTGTTAATGATCCAAATGCCTAAAAACATTGTCGTCAACATAAAGCCGGCAAATATACGCCGGATATCATTGCCGACAATCATTAAAACTTTGAGAGCAACCCTTTTATGTAATCCACTGCTTTCCATAGATATGGCTATTATAAGACTCGACAAGAATAGCATATTAGTTGCCTGAAGGTATGGTCCACACGCCTCCTCAGTGGTAGCCAAACCCAGCATTGGAAATAATACAACTAATTTAATAAATACAATATATATTTTAATAAATTTTATTATAGTTATATTTATATCCTAATTTTATAGTTATATAATTTTTAAATATTTATTGAATATTAATGTTTACTTAAAATAAATTTGATAAACAATTTTATATACCAGGAAATAATGCAGTTATAGGCAATGGTATGGGTTGAAAGGTCCAATAGATAGCCATTAATATTAATACATAAGCGCATTTCGATTCCTATTTGAATATATATTTTGACAGAATATCAAATTACAGTTTAACTAATATTCTAAAACATTTATTACTATTCAAAATTTAAATTTGAAATACAATATATTTATATAGAAATTATGTTATTATAATAAAATAATCATAAACTTAAAAATAGATGTATTGTAGTAACACACATTTTTCTACTATTATATTACAATTTTTTATATAACATAAATATTTTGGTAATTTGTAATTAAGTTTTAAAAATATAATTTATAAAATAATAATATTGTTATAATTATAATATTTATGTTATAATTATAACAAAATTAGCATACTAACATTTACAAAAATTATCATGTATTATACAATATATTAATCATCGGATACATGAAAATAACTTACCGGATTAGCTCCATTTACTATTAATGGTAATAAAGCAATTGGTGTAACAATAAGGACTAGAAATTTCCATATTGTTTTAATAAACTTGAAAATACTTAATATTTTATAAAATATAGACATTATCTTATTTATTTAAAACAAATTATTAATATTAATATTTACAAAATCAAAATGAATTTGAAATAAATGATATTTATTTGTTTAAGTCATTGTCATGAATCATGAAAACACATTTTTACAATTACTATAAAAAGAATTTATATTAAATATGGATTGAACTCTTGATTTGAAGTTTTTAAATAATTTTAATTAAAAAAACTGTCAATAATTACAGGCAAAAATTTCATATTTAACATAAACATATATTGGAAATATTTTATAAATTATTAAATATTAAAAAATAATTCCATATTATTATTGTTTTAGACAAAAACAATTAGACATAATTGTATTTATTTATATTTAGTATATTAATACTATAAAAAATGACATAATTATAACAAACAGATGCCAACTTGGAGTCCAATATTTTCATTGATGTCATGCTTTTTTAAGACATGGATTGTATGTATGAAAGTATGGATGACATGTATGGCAGCGCATGACTTGACAGCAATAGGGATGTGCTTTGAATATTGATTTTCTTCATTCATTGATTGACTCAAAATATTAAAGTCTCCGCAAACTCTTTATTATTAATATTTCAATTATGACTTTATATCAATATATCAATCTTAATATACATTACTGTACTATACTGTATTATAATGTACTTGGCACATTTTTATAAAAATTTATATAAAACTTAAACTAATATTAAGGTTATTTACTGATATCAAATGTATACACTATAAAACTATATAACATTAATTAACTAATTATCAATTACAAACATCTTTTATATACCATAAATATAATTAAATGCTAACAAAATATTAAAAAGATAAAAAATACTATATAATTTATATTTAGTAATTCATAATAATTTTAATCTGAATAATAAAATTATTTTGTGCATTGACAGTGATGATTAAACTCTAAACCACACTTTTAAATATTATTTATTAAAAATTAAACATTATATTATTTATTATATTATATATATAGTTAAAAATATATAATAATGATAAAAAAAATTAAGTCAATTACTTTAGTAATCTATTGTACAATACATAGTACAATATTATTACATTATATAATACTGTATATGTATTAATACCAAATACTGTATATAAAATTTAATGCATTAATACAATATACAGTATATAAATTTATGTATTAGATATAAATTATTATAAATGAAACTAATAAGTGTAACTATTTAATAAATACAATGATAACTAATATTCAATTAAAACCATTAATTTATTTTAATTAAATTTATTAATTTAATCAATTATTGTTATGTATTATAATAATTAAAACATTTATTATAAAAAAATAAAGTATCTGATAATATTATAACAAAATATTTTTATTATAACAAAAAACTTTCAAACTTAGTGTGAAAATGACTATTGATTTTATAATTAATAACTGTTTTTAAGTGACGACAAACTAATATTTTCTTACAAATCATTGTCTCAGACATTCATTTCCATTTATTTTTAATTATAATTTATAAATTTTATATTTAGTAATAAGTATTAAAGTAATTGAAGACATTAATTGGTGAATTGCACAGATACAGTATGTAAGTCAATTAATAATAGACCCATTATATTAAATTGTTTTTTTATTAAAATTTTTATTATAAAGTCCACCAAATAATACTCAAAACAAAACTAAACGTTTAAATCATAAAATTATTTTGTCGACTACTGGATATGTTTAATACGTTTACTTGTCTTACTTTGTCATGTTATAGCATCTGAATGACTGATCAGATATTAACAAAAATAAAGTTTAAATTGTAAAAATAAAAGGTGTTTACACGTATTAAACATATTTAATTATCTATGTTTATATGAATGTATATATAAAGACAATTCATTTATTACAATTATGACTCAATTATTATTATTACTGTTTTAATATAATAATTACAAATACTGTAAATAATATAAAAAAATATTGACAGAATGGGAATCATAATTTCAAACAAAGCTTGTCATACAATTGATTGCATGTAATTAACCACAAAATATAGTAAATCACTTGTTATTATTAGTTCAACAATATTGTTATCAAATTTAAGTGTTGTACACTTTATTTAAAAATTATAGCTCAATTAAATTTTAATAAAAATTGCAATAAAACAATAAAAACAAAAAAATGTGATATATTCTAAAGAAAATAATAATATAATAAACTTAAATTAAGAGATTTTATATTTAATTAAAGTCAAATTTATTTTAAACAATTCATTTGCTAAGAATTTTTAAAAAACTTTTAATAATTTTTTAATAGCCATTAGATTAAACCCGACATTATTGCTCTAAAGTTTAGTAAACTTCTGTACAGTAGTAGACATTTATGTGTTAAACTGTAATTGATTAACAACACATTTATATTTAACTTTCTTAAAATAATAGTTATTTTATTTTTTATTATTATGCATGACATTAATTTTATAAAAAAGTATAAAAACAAATTTAAGATTCTATAGTATTAATAAAGTGCTTCAATAGAGGAAAGTCGGAAGTATACAGTTAGTTAGAAATTATTAAATATAGGAAATTAATAGAAAACTTTTTGAACATTTGAATTATTTATTTATTTTTATCCTAGAGTACAGTATATTAATTTTAATACTAATTAAATATTATAAAAATAAAATTAGAAAAAAATTTACTAATAATAATTTATAAATTCTATACTTTATATTATAAATTAAATATATTTAATACTGCATTATTAAATTTATAATAGATTTTATACACAGTACTACATCATAATAGGTTTTCAATATAATACAGGATTATGATATATTTGAAGTTATAATTTATAAATATACTTTTAATAGTTCCGTATAATTAAATTATAATAAAAGTAAAGTTTTATCATATAAATAATTTTAATGAAAAACATTTTAGAAATAATCATAGAGTTGTAAATTTGTAAATTTTAATTTGCTTATCAATAGTCGGATGTTATGTCCAAAATTGCTGATACTATTGATATGTTAAATCTGTATATTACTAACTTATTTTCAAACACATATTTATTCAGTTATTTAATAAAATAGGAATTACCATATTTGATGACATGATATGAATATTAACGCTATTGTTACACATATTAGTAATCTTAGTGATATTACAATCATTTTATTTTTGAATTCATATTTATTTCTAAGAAATTTAATATTGAAAAATGTTTCACAAAATAAAGTAATGTTTATAAATAATTATTAATAATTAAAAATTTATATAATAAAAAACTATACCAATAAAAATTAAGTACAATTAAAAAATAGCAAAATTGTTTAAATATTTGGTACTATTATGACTTTATAGGAACTATTAATATTGATTTTTTGTTAAATTAAATAAAAATTTGTTTTTTAATTATCATAAATACAACACTTGTAATAACGACCCATTTGTCCACTTCTTTTAATTCGACACTTTCTCGACGCAGACATTCCTAAACCATTGGCACAACTCTTCATTGGATGTGATTGAGTGCATTGAGTCCAATAACAGAGTCGGACATACTTTTGACGGTTATTGTTGTCTATCGAAGCCAAACACACCGTATAAGCGATTAATATGATTACAATCGAAAATTTTCTCATTATTAATGGCTTTAAATGTCGATTAAAATCAATTTGTTGCACAATATTACACAATATGATAGGTTTGTTAACTTATTAATATAATAAAGTTATTCACACATATAATGATAAAAAGTTTAATTCCAGTTTAAGTTCAGTTATTGAAATGATGTTTTACTTGTAGATCATATTAATATATATCCATATATTGGGTACAAAACATAAATTCTGTGTTTACGTAATCATTAGTTAAGGTAAAAACCCTCTGGAAATTTATTTAAGCCTTATATTTATTATACTTTTTTTAATATATGTATTGTATTTTTTTTGAATGTACTGTACTTCAAAAAATATAACAATTGAATGTTTCATTAGAATTACTATTGAATTGAAAGGCAAACCCTTTTATAAATAATTTTGTCACTTAAACAAATAAAACCAATAAATTATTTTGTATTTAAATATTAAATGTATTATTAATTCTACAAAACCACATATTTTTGTTAACAAAATGTTGCATAAAATAAATTATACTTATTAGTATTGTTGGCGTTGCTGTGAAACAATACATTTAAAAATAATTAAACTATTATACCTTTAACTAAATACTTGTGAAACAAGTATAAAATATCAATAAGTAAAAACTATATTTTATTTTGAACACATTTTTAGTCACACATAGATAAATTTGAAATACTGTATGTGTAATTGTGTTTAAAAATAAAATAGTTTCTACTCATTGATATTTCAAACGTCAAACAAGTAAACAACAATTGAATGTCTATTATGATATATTTGTCTTTTGAATTATTAATTATGGATTATTGAAAACAAAACAAAATTTATTTATTAATTGGCAGACCTTGGGTATTGTTCTATTTAAGGTTAGATGTTATGTTGACTATATTTTGAAGGACAGTTAACAAAAGTAATGTATCACAATATACAATAAACAGTTTTTATTATATTTCATTGTTAACTAAGTGCAAATGTTATGCTAAAAGATATATTTTAATCAATCAATTAATTTGTAATTTTAATTTTAAAAATATAATTGTATATATAAACAGAATATCAAATATTTATTACAGTATTTAATATTACAATACAACAAATAAAAATCCCTTTTGTACTACACATTCATTTGCTTATATATTATATTAATATTACAATTTTTTTATTCTTTATTATACAAATAAATATAATAATTATAAATTATAGAAATATTTTGGTAATATTTATCATAACTGATATTGTTGATAATTTAATTTATATTTAATTTATCTATTTAATTTATTATTATTATTATTTAATTTATTTAAATATCAAACATTACAAAGTTAATAATATTAATACATTTTCTTAAATACAATAATAAATTTTCATTAGTTTAAAATATCATTAATGTGTAAATTATTTTGTACTAAAGTAAATACATTGCATATGTGTTTTTGAATGAGTGCATAATATCAGTACTTATTACAAGTAAAAGTTTTGCCATTGTTTAAACTTTAAACAATTAATTAGTCTGTAATATACTTTACCTAATGCACTGTATTGTATGTACTGTGCTATTTATAAATCAAAACACTATAAATTACAAACTATATTATTTACATAAATCTTATAAAAATTTCATAAATGGGCAAATCCAGAATTTAAAAAAATTAATTTTATAAATTTCCTTAAGTATCAGATAACTTAAATCAACCATTTTTCAAAAAAAAAATTATTAAATATATTTACAAAATATTATTAGTGCAAATTACAATTAATTTTATAATACTATTGATAAACTTAATGAGAAATATGCCGCAAAACTGAGTATTGCTATACTAAACAAAATTTATGATTCCATATAATAAGTAATAATAAAATAATTAGTTGTAAGTTAATTCCTATACAATTAATTGCTTGTAAAAGCCTTATAAACATAGAGAAACTAAACCATTGAGTTGCCATTAAATTTAAATAATTTTCTAATAAAATTATTATAAAATGTAATAAAAAGATTATTTATAAATATTTTTATTGTTTTACTGGCGATGATCGCGACTGTTGTGCCAACTCTTTAACTAATTCAATGGTTACCTCCCGGTGCTCGTGACTAATGCTTTGTGGTATGAGATTATTTTGAAGAATATAATTGGCGGTAGACTTCTTGAGGTCATCACAGTTGTAATAATGCGCTGAAATAAATATATCGTAACAATTGTTGTGATTTATATTTCGTTGCATAAATTGTTGGCACATATGATGGACACGACTAATGTTGTATCTATCGGCTATCGATAGCAATTCATAAACATTGTCGTCATCGATGGTTAACTTACCGTAAAGTGAATAATTGCAGATCTGAGTCAATATTGCAGAAGACATATCTTTTAGTTGTATGACATGACAGTCGGATGTCTTATTATACGTGAAGTACTTCTGAAAGTAAGGGCTAATACAGTAAAAGCCTATACGATATACTTTAATCGATGACTCCTTTCCAATCACTAGTAAATCTGGCGCTACATTCATGTGTTTGGGATCTATCAGTGCTTTGGGTAGTCTAGACATTGAACCGGTATCTTAAGGTAGTTTATATTCAAAAACTTGGGCCACTTTTCTCTATTTCACACTTTTGGCCAATAATTTCATTGAAAACTTTTTTTTAATTTTACAATAATACTTAAAACTATCGATTGTTGGGAAATTCTAAAAAAATTTCAAATATTTATTTCACAAAATATAATTTATAAGTTACTTACAGTAAGTACTCTATAGAAAAATATTTATTTCTATGCAGTTTTAAACATAATCTTTAAATACAGTACAAGTGTATGTAATTTGAAACTTTTACTCATATTAGCTCTATTTGCCTATAGTTATGAATGATTAACTCAAAGTTATGTGTTAGTTAATGTATAGTATAGTACTGTATTGTATATCAATTACCAAAACAAACACAATTTATCAATAGTATTACCATTACTATGATTTACCGAAATAGTTCATATTTTCTAAATCTTATAAAATTACTTAAATTACAAAAATATGTTGTTTTGTTTCAAAATAATGACTAATTATATCATAAAACATATTTTATAAATTAGAAAATTTTGGGCGTTTCATACATAATATCATATTATATAATTATTTAACAAATGTTATCTATAAAAAGTTATTCAGTATTTCAACAAACTATGGAAAAAATAGTCAAAAATAAAAAAAGTTTCTTAAATATGAAAACTTGTGGTTCGATTGCAATAAATGATAATTAAATTTAATATTAATTTGTTTTTTATTATTATTATTACAGATCGGAAAATAAAAAATAATATAACCGTAAAAAATGCCGAAAGAGAGAGAAGTCGTGTTAAAAGTTTACGCCAAGCTTTTCATAATCTTCAACAGTGTTTACCATCTGTGCCACCGAATACCAAACTGTCCAAATTGGATGTACTTATTTTGGCCACAAATTACATATCGTATTTAACAAAATTAATAAATGATGATAAAAACAACAATTCATTGTTAGCAACACCGGTTGATTGCAATTTTAAATTTTTGCATCCAATGAAAGTAAGTCTATTTCTAAGCTATTTAACAATAAACTGATTGTATAACATATTTATTTTATTATAATTTTTAAAAATGTTTCATGCAATTTCTCAAACAAATATATTTAAAAAAAATTAATTTTAATCTTAATTAGAAATGGCCGATGAGATCACGATTATATTCAATGGCTGATTCAATGGACACTAATTATAATATAATTGATGAAACATTGCTTAATTGCCTTTAATACATTTTACAATTAATTATTTAAATATTTGTGTGACTCTATAAAAAAATTTTAATTATTAATTATAGTATATATTGTATAAATGCTATAATTCAATACCAAATAAAATTCTAACAATATTAAACTAGTTCAGTAAATTACTATTATTAACATACAGTATATTCTAATTTTAACTTACAGTAAGTTATATAAATATATATATATATAATATTAACTTTAAAGAACTATGCATTTATTTATCGTTTGTTTCTTATATTTTTATTCATTGGTTTAATTAGATTTAAAGTTATTCAATGATTGACAGCAAATATGACAGAGTTTTTAAGTCATTTACAATAAAATGTTTTGAATGCAAAGTTAATTAAAACAATAACACATTTTCTCTTTGGATCAACACTTTGCTGATTGTTTGTCATTGAGTCTGAAATGCTATTACTTGCGACCAAAGAGTTGCCAAACATTTGTTCATTTGATTGAAATCCAATCATTCCTACAAATGGAAAGACTGTCTGAAAAGCAATTGTGAACTCATTGCTAAAGTTGTGACTATTGGCTACAATGAAAGCAATCGACATCGAGCTCTTCCAGTCATCACAATTGAAACTCAAGTTTTGCTTAAATTGTGTTAATTGTGGCAAATATGTAAATTTGTCAGTCATCGACATTATCAGACTTCCTGATCGCACTAAAGATCCTCCAAATGTAAGTACAATTTGATCGAGAAGTAGAGGACAGTTAGTTCGACTTTTGACCACAAATATTGATCCGCCGCCAAAACAGATGTTGTTGTCATCGAGTCTTGTTTTTAAGTTGTTGACCAAATCAGTAGTTTGTGTCTCATAAGAGGAACCCTTTGGAACCCGTTTTGTCACTTTTAATGATTGAAAATAAAGAACAGCCGAAACATCAGTGATGTCCACCTCTTGGATGTTGTGATAACTCTTGACTTTAATACCTTCGATCTCTGGGAACATAAGAGATGTCAGACCTATGTTTGAAAAATTATTGTTTAATATTTATGATTTAGAATTAATATTTAATGTAAATAAATGAATACATGGATGGGCTGTCCTTTTAAATAGCTCTTTGTTGTTGTGATCACCATAATTGGTAAGACTTCTGAAACGAATACTACTCGTCAAGACAGTGCTTCCAACGTCTAAATATGTGATTTCACATTCTTTTGGCAAATATTTACTGATTTCTTGGAGTCTGTTTTGCCGATACCTATAGTCTACAACATTTCGATGACCACCGACCAGTACTATCACATGCTTTGGTCGGATGTTAAGCCAAGTGCTCGAGTAATGAGTGAACGATTCAAATAGCTTATTAGTATCACTATTGAGACCAATTTGTTGGTAATTTAATAGATAAAGATGTATAATGTCTTTACGTTTCTCGTACTCATAGACCGAGGCGTCAAACGATTCTTTAGAGACACAATGCATCTGAAATAGAGATCTGATGTCTAAATGGCTTACAATTTGGCCGATTAGGTACGGGTTCTTAAATACAATATCAGTACTATTTTTCTGATAATCCATTGTAAGGGCTGATGGAACCCTTGTCTTATGACCTTAAGATCTTAATTGTAAATAAAAATTATTGACAAAACTTGTCAGTTGACTAACTATTTATGATTTAAATTTAAATTCATATTTGGTTGTATTGCACGCTTTAGTTGATTTATTATTACAATAATTTTAACTGCAATGTAAATTAAGCAAAACTTATTAATATGATATCTGATTTTATAGTTATTTTAATTTAATTGTGAAACAGTTTTTTATAATAATTTTATATTAACTTTTCAGTCAACTTTATGTACATATTTAGACAATTGATTATATAATATGTGTGTAATTTATTTTAAAAAATCACTTTCAAACTGATCCCAGTCTACAATAGAGACTAACTCCGACTCAACTGATGGACAAACTTGAATATTTCTTTTATAAGAACTGCCATTTCTTTCTCTAATAATTTCTTTGGTAGAAGTAATCAAATGAATGCCTTCGCCTAAGAAGACCAGTGGACTAACAATTTCTGTGGCAAAAGCCATCGGTTTTCTTAGATTACTATAAATTGGTTGCCATTTGAATACTCCATCAAATATATAGAAACCATTTTCAGTGATAAGAGGTCTCGTGTGATGATATTGTCTATCTCTTTGTTTAAGTAGTTTTCTCTCTAATTTTTCCTCATTCTTAGATAACCTAACCTCCATTCCCACACAATATCCATCTTTTGCAACAATAATACCTAATCTTCTCACTGCTTCTGAAATGTCAGCATTTGGCTCAATATCTTTGCGTCCTCTAAGTGTCAATTTACCAGAGAAATGGTTAGGTATTTCATCTATAGATTCCGCTCCATTCCAATGATATCCAACATAATAGCCTCTAATATGAATGCCTTTTTCATCAATTCTTGGAGCAAATGATGAGATGGGACCGACCTTTCCCTTAAATTTTGGTGTCGGATACTCTTTACGAACGCAATGCAATACATGACAGTCTTCATCTTCTCTGACCCGCTTGTTATCAATCAATTGCGGTTGTCTTATATTCCATGGAATGGCCACTAAATAATAACCAAATGGTTTAAATGAATTGATTACATCATTAGGTATGTGCCGCCACTTTCCCGTATTAAACCATATGATTGGTTTGACTCTTGTCGTCGTCAGTTCATTCTGACGACACTTTCTGTCGGCGACTACTACTCTATTGGACGGGTCTTTCAAATCAACCATAACTTTGATTATCACACCATTTGGAAGTTCTGTAGCCATTTAAGATCAATTGCCACGAATTACAGTACTAACCAATTATAATGTCTTACTATTTCAATATTAATTTGAATTTGCATGAGATATACAGTATTGTTGCAATCATTTAGTACTAAATATTTAAAAATATAGTTATTTTAATATTAATAACAAAAAACAAATCATTGCTAAGAAATCATTAATTATGACTCATTTAAACGGAATCAATAAAGAAGACAATAAGGCTTTGGTTTTGCATAAAGCAAATGATTTGAAACTAGAGATTTGGCCGTTAGATGAAACACTTGACGCAAATGGTATACAATTACCATTCAAATCAATGTTAATATTAATAATTAATTTTGTTTGTTATTATCAAATTAGATGTCTTTCTTGAGTCTAAATGGTTTGTATTGTAGACTCTTTAAATTAAACCAATTAACTAATAATTTAATTAAAAGCAATGGTATTTGTGGTACTGATATTCATTTGTTGAAGAATGGAGGTACTGCTGGGTTTACAATTGAAAAGCCATTAGTCTTGGGTCACGAACCATCAGCTCTTGTCAAAGCAATCGGATCTAATGTTAAAGATCTAAAACCGGGTGATAGAGTTGCTGTCGAACCTATCATAGCGTGTGCTAAGTGTGAGTACTGCCGAATGGGACGCTATAATCTGTGCCCACAATCATATATACAATCCCGAGGATTACCGCCAATGGATGGCTGTATACGCAAATACTATACCCATCCATCCAATTGTTGTTTTAAGTAAAGTATTTATAAAGTTATGGACTATAATCTATTAGTTGTCATCTTTGATTATTTACAGAATCCCAGATCACCTGTCCTGGGAAGAGGGCTCAATGGTTGAACCGTTTGCTGTTGTGGTTCACGCCTGTCGACGAGTTAGTCTCAAAGTGGGTGAACGGGTTTTAGTCTGTGGCGCAGGTATTATATATTAGTTATTATTTACTTAATATAAATAAGTTATTAATCTCAGGTCCAGTTGGTATTATGGCTATGCTTTGTTCTAAAGGTAAGCATATTTTGTTAAAATTTCCAATTAATTAACGTATTTTATAATATTTTATTATTAGCTTTTGGTGCGACTAAAGTATGTATAACTGACATAAATAAGAGTCGTCTAGATTTAGCCAAAAGTTTGGGCGCCGATCAGGTATTTCTTATTGATGTCAAAGATTTCAACGACGAAAAGTTTGCTCAAAATATGAACAAAGATTTTGGAAAAATTGATAAAACAATTGAATGTTCGGGCGTTGAGTCCAGTCTTTCCACAGCCATATATGCAACAAGAATTGGCGGTCAGATATGTTTGGTTGGATTGGGTCCGAAAAAAGTTAAGGTTCCGATCAGTACAGCAATTATGAAAGAAATTAATCTCATCGGAAGTTGTCGGATAAAAGACGAGTATTTTTTATTTATAAATTTACTTAATATTAATAATATAATAAAAATTTAATAATAAATCGTTTTTTAATCAGTTATGAGTTGGCTATTGAATTGATTGCATCGGGAAAAGTCAATCTGAAGCCATTAGTGACCAATAAATTCAAAATCGACAGAGCATTAGAAGCTTTTGAATTACTTAAGAGTAATCAGGAAGGAGTGGTCAAAGTAATGATTGAACACTAATTGTTTACAAAATAAAATGCTTGTTTAAAACAATTTAATGTCACAACAATCTCAAAATGTCTTAATTATAATATATAATACATTGTAATATTTATTATTAATAAATTGTATTAAATTTTCTTAATTAATCTTGTCTTACAATAAATAATTATTTTATTTTTAAATTAAATTATGTTTTTGGGTTATTTTGCGATCTCATGGATACATTGGTGTCTATAGTACTTCCGAAATTTTCATCTATTAGATCATTATCTATTGCACCATCATTTGGTAATTTATTAGTTAAATTCTTTGTATTAGTTTGAGATCTTGTCGATACATTTGAAGCATTTGAATCTACAATACTTGAAGTTTGTTTTAATTTATTTCTCGGATCTGTAAGACCTCCTGTGCGGGAACGGGTAGATAAAGAACTATTAGTAGCCATTTCTGGTAAATTAATAATACTTGAGGTCTGTTGATTAGAAAGACCTCTTGTATGGGAACGGGTAGACAAAGAACTATTTGTAGACATTTCTGGTGAAGACCTTCTGGTTGTTCCACTTATTTGTGATCGATTAGTATATAAAGAAGTATTGTTTAATTCTTGATTTGGTGACTGTGTTTTATCACCAGTTTTAGGTGAAGACAATTGTTTTTGCTTTTGTTTATCTTTGCTATTCTTGAAACACCAAATTATAATAAATGCTAATATTATAATTGCTATTAATATTAATAAAATAAAGATCCAAATGGGAATCGTTGTGTTTTCTTCTGTTTCAGATGTAGTTGTTTTATGTCTTTCAGTAGTTATCACATCTTGAGAACTGTTGTTTACTGCTGTTGTTGTGTCTAAGGATGTGCTGATCACAACAGTAGGTGATGTCAAAGTATTAGCTGGAGATGTAGTTGATATTATAGTTGTAGTGGTTTTAGTTATATTATAACCACACTAAATAATTTAATGATTAATATTTTCTCAATGTTTAGTATTAGTAATCTTACAATTTTATTTATAAATGCAATTAATGGTAAATTAGGTATATCTTTGCTATGATTGTAGACTCTAATGATTCCATTCTTGTTATGAAAAATTGTTTTCAAATAAAATAAATTAATTAATGTATTTATGAATATTAATAATAAATGAAAAATTTTCAGTCATTTATTTAACTTAAAACATTACTTGAGATTTGTCTAAATCAATGTAATAAGTGGTAAAATTTTTAGGTCCGATACAAATAATTTGTTTGTCGTCGTGAATAAAACAAGAGTCATAGTCTTGATAGGGATCTAATACTTCAACAAATTTCATTTGATTGTCAACAAAATAATTATATTTTTTTTTAGGACAGGACTTGTCTTCAAAGATTGTGTGGTAATCTCTGTCTTTAGTGTTTTCAGGCGCACCTTCGGCCGGCATTTGAACAATTATAAGTGATCGTCGACTGTGCCAATACATTGTGAAAGTCATCGGATGGTAATTCATATAAGGATTAGAGTCTAAAATATCATACAATCCTCTCTGCTTTTTAGTCCATTTGCGAGTCGGTGTCCAATCAATCAGATTTAACGTTATATACCAATCAAATGCCTGACTATTTATGTCTTGCATCTATATTTCAAATTTATTATTATTTTAATAAATTTAGAAATATTTTTATAAATGATTTTTAGATTAAATACATAGTAAACAAATAGAGAGTAATTTTTTGAATCGCAACGTCTATTGTCATACAATAGTAAACCAAATGGTGATCTAAACTCCTCCGGTATTGCCATTGCTTTAAGGTTTTGTACATCTTTTTGGTCATACATTTGATTTGGTATTATATAATACATGCCATCAGCTATTATGGCAAACGATAAACCAGTTGAACGATTCAATGGTTGAAGCATTTGAAATTTGGGACATTTTTGTGAATTTGTATATTTGTTTGTCAACATTAATATATAGATAATAATAATAATATAAAACATATAATTATTGCTACTTATATATCGATAAAACAAATTCATTGTAAATAAATTCTATAGAAAAATACTAAAATTGTAATAAGATGTTGAATACAAATTATTATTACAATACAGTATATTGTAAATTGATTTTTTATTTRTTAAATTGAATCATTTAATCGAAAAATATTTGCTATATTTGGCGCGCGTTTTATTAAGACTTTACGTGCAAATAAAAATAAAAATGTTATACCAATAACTAAAATAAGTTAAAATCCATATATAAACAGACTTTCTATAAATTTCACAATTATTGTTAACTCTAATTCTATGATACAAACTATATTTTAACCAGTGTTGCGATGGGGGAGGAGTAGGGGGTAAGTCATCTTAGATCTCTGAGATAACGATTATGAATGCAGAATATTCTTGTAATTTGTTTGCATTATTAAGTTTTCAATTGTCGACAATTATGCCATAAATTATTATTTATATTAATGAATCAAATTATATCAAATGTTATTTGTTATAAAATTGTTTTTATTAAAATTAAATAATAATTAGTAACTTAAATGTCAATAAATGGATAATTAATTGAATTAATTGAAATCATTTATTCAGTGATAATAACCAAATGATGACAATTTGTAACATTATATTTGATGTATTAATTGTGTGTACGGTATGTGTGAATGTGTGACAAATGTATTGTTTGAATGAAAGCATGATTTGGGACAACAAGTGATCCGATAATTGAAGACATTTAGTAATATCTGAAGATATTTTTGAGACAATATGATGTCAACGATGGACATAATAACCACAGAAACCAAAACGTTGGCCAAAAGCAAGTCTATTATGATATATACGGCTTCAGGATTTCGTACAGACATCGAGACATTGTATGCAAAGTTTGATGACATGAAGTCAACCAAATTTGTCGTTTTCATCCATTGTTTCAAAGAAATGAATTTTGGACTTATCTTTCGGTAATTGAATTGTTTGTCATTATCTGATTTAATGTCAATCAATGACAATGTATTTGTTTTGCAGCGGTCGACACAACGACAATGAGATGCATGAGTTCATCGATGAGATCTATCTGGAAGTGTTGTCCCAATTGGTAAATAAAGACAAACTTATGTCTCATCGCATTTGTTCCGTATATCTATTGTACGCATTGTATGTCAAACAACCATTTACTCAATCATTGAAAATTCGTTTCGACATTAAAGTGAGGATAACATTGGATCAGTTGAAGATTATCCGCGAGTTCATAGATAAATGCAAACATAAAGGTTATCTCGATGTTTGTTATATTTGGTATAAATTGTTATCAATTGGTGTTAATTTTGTTTACTATCGCTACCAAAGTATTGGACCATCAAATACACGATCAGTTCATTATTATCTCTTCAATAATAGCCATTCTTTGACTGATAAAACACTCAATGATTTCAAAGAATCACTGATTCCTCGCATTGAAACTCTTGAAACAACTCATGAAATGTTTATTGATTACAAAGAAAAAGTGTTTAACGGAAAAGATTTTGGTGTTGAAGAAAAACCAAATGTTATTAATCATGAGTTATGGAAAGATTCAATCAATAACTTCACTAAATTGACCAATGATTTCAAATATAATCGCGATATTCGTGGCAGAGGTCGACCATCAATTTGGATGCCATATCGCAAAGTAAACGATAAAGAGATTGAAGACAATAATAATAACATTGATTACAAAGTCAGTGTCCATAAGAAAGCCATCAAATCTAAGGTTAAGTTGGAAACCGACACATCCTCTCATATCTTGTGGACCGACGATATCATTGGCAATCTTAAGAAAGGAAAGGAAATGAAGGCTCGTTTGAAACGAGAAAAGAAAAATAAAGACTTAAAACAATTAAAAGGAGATAAAGACGAAGTGATTATCAAAAAAGAAATCAATGAAATCAAACCAAAGAGAGGACGAAAACCTAAAACCAAAAATTAATTCATAATAACATAATATAACAACTTTTATGGTTTCGTAATATTATTTAAATATAAAATTTATTTTATTTGAAAGCATTTTAATTACATTTACTTAATTTTTAATAATTTTTTAATTTCCGTATTATTGACTTATTATTGATAATAATTATATTTCATTACCGGTAAATTAATTTTGTTTTTACGGTAATATACTTAGTTTTAACACTGTTTTGTAATTTCAATCCTTAATTTTTTTAAAATTAAATCATAATCTTGTTTAATGTAATATATTATTTTATAAATAATATCAAATTCTAATAAATATATATTTAAACTAATATAGCATTATATCTGCCGATTATTTAAATATTGTAATTATAATATAGTAAAGTAATATAGTTTAGTAAAATTTAATTTCAATGAATTAGTTATATCATTTAACAATAACACTCAAAATACAGTTTAATTGGACACTTGTTATTCAAATAATAAATAATATAATAATATAATAAAATTTGTTGTTTGGAGTTCAATAGGTGGTAGCACAAGGAAATAGATTTTCTGGGAATTCCCAGGGAACACGAAAAATAGGGAACTTTTAGAAATAAAACAATTGAGGGAATTTGCTCGTAATTTACTTTCCGGTAAATACAGTATAATACATGTGCTATTGTAAAATAATTATTATCATACGTTAAAAAAATGTTTAAAAAATGATATTTCAGTTATTATTTAGTTTTATAAAATATAATTTCATTAAAATAAACTATTATTAAATACTTAATATAATTTCTAAAATAAAAGATTTTAATGTAATTTAACTTTTTTATTTGCTTTTAAAAATTAATATTAATTAATTATAATAATTAATTTTTTGTCTTTAAAAAAACAATTAACTTAAAACATGTTAAGGTTGACATCACAATACTTCAGATTTCGGTGATACTTATGTTAGCTAATAATATAGTTATAATTTTTTATATTAAAATTGTATATTAAATTGACATTGCTAATAAATCAAACAATTTAATAGATTCTAAATAAAAATGTCATTATTTATTTTGATTATTATAAGTATGCACTTCTATGCAGTACTCAACTAATTTTTGACAATATCATCAAATACTACTGTATTTTCTTGTTTGGTTGTTATTTGAAGATACAATATAATACCTGTATTGATAATTCTGTATACAATTGTTGTTAACACAATGATTGAGTATCAGTATTGCAATTACTGGTATATATGGTGTATGCATTTGGCAGAGTATTCAATTAGACAGGTAATCCACTCATTAATTTATAATAAATATCTGATAAATCATACACAATTTAAAAATGACCAAGGCCATAATTATAGATTATATTAAACTCAACATAATTGTAATTGGTCATTTTTTGATTAATTGTAAAATTAACTAGATAATAGTAGATAATAGTCAAGTATTTTATGTCGATGCTATTATCTAGTTAATTTTACAATTTAAAAAATAACCATAAAAAAATAATATATTTAATGGCAATATATACCAGTACTTGCAATACTTCAGTCAATTTACGGTACTATTTAATATCTACACTACACTGTATTGTAAATTTATATGTATTATAAATCGTACACTTTTACTATTTTTTATCGTTAGAGAGCAATACTTGAGTTTAATTTTATTTTTAATACTAAACTAAATTTTTAGTGTATAAAATGATAATTTATTAAATACTATTAATAAGTATTTAATATTTTTTTAATTAGATATCCAATAAAAAAGTTTTGTTAAAAAACTCATTAATTGTTTGAATATAAACTAATAAGTCTTATATGATATAATTATATTTTAAATTAAAGGATCACAAATTGGTGTTATATAATATATAATAAGTATAATTTATACAGTACTGTATAACAATGCTACTTAAATTATAATAATATTGTTAATTCAAAGTGTAGACAATTAATATGGAAATAATATTAATATTAATGTATATAAATATATGAATTCCTAATTAGATTAATTAGATTAAGTTAATTATTAACAAATTGGATTATTATTGATTTTATATGTTCTGTGTTTATACTTTATTTTTAATGGCTTATCTATTATTGAAATCACAATTAATTAGGTTTTTAAAAATGTGTGAAAATATTGAACTAAACATTTAATTATAAAATTACGAAATTGATTTTATTTTTTATGAGAATTTGTATCATACGATTAAAATCATTATTATTTATATATTATAGATTTGGTAATATTATAAATTAGATAAACATATAACTATTATTTAAGTATTAATGATTTAGATAAAAAATCATTTTTTGAGATTAATTTAATACAATTTCAATGATGACATAAATTAAGTACCTGTAATACAGTACATGTTGTATATGTTGACTCATCAGCAAATGTAAAGCTTTTTTACAGGCAATGGGAAAGTAATGTATTTTTGAAATAAAATATAGAAAACAAAGAAAGATATAGAGAAAGATGACTATATAATAGACTATACCGTATGACTATAATAGAGAGAGAGAGAGAAATAAAGTTATTTATTTGTGTGGAAAATACATTGAATCGTTTGTTTTGACAAATTATTGTTAGTTTTTTATGGATATTAAAGAGATGACTATAAATGAATGACAAAATTAATAGTTTAGACTTTCGGTCAAATTTAATAAATGATGTCTTGTATTATACTTCGCTCCAGTTTCTCCTACACTTTCACTAATACATTAAATGTTTTATACAATTATTTTGTATTGTTTGACAAAATAAGGTAATAATAATTTGTGTCATTGCAACTAAAAAACTACTCTTATATTACAACAAACTAAAAATTATATTATATTATTAAAGCCCACAAATGAAATTGTTGTTTAAAAAAATGCAAAATAAAAAGATTTACAATTCTTACGTTTAACTATAATCTCATTAATAAACAATACAATATATATATATATAATTTATATATACTGTATTATATTATAAACATATTTATTTATTTGTAAGTACAATACAATTTATAATACCTGTATGTTTTCAAATAATAATAAATGAAAACAATTTTTAAGCATTAATCAAAATAATACACAACAAAATTGTGTTAAAAAGTAAGACAAAAGGCGAAAAATGTTTTATTTATTAAAAGAGTTGTGAAAAACTTGTTTTCCATAGAAAATGACATCAATTAGGAAGCAATGAAAACGGAGACAATTGGAACCGATAGCTGAAGAACTAACTAATAATTAATAGAAACTCTGCTAAAGTAGTGTCTATTGTTTAGTGTCTTTTGTGACACTTTTATTGTAACAATTCATTCATTTCATTCATTAATGTCTTTTTGAGTCTTAATTTTGTATTACTTTATAAAAATATCTGTTGGCGTGTCTTGTCTTGTCTTTTATTGTCTATAATATTAGTTCTGTTAATGTCTTCTATTGTGACGAGTATTCAGAGTGAAGCCAAAAACGTGGCCCATCTTTACATGTCTAGAGAGCGGGTGAGTGAGTGAGCTAATGAATGAATTAATGAGTGAGTGAGTGAGTGAGTGAGTGAGTGAGTGAGTGAAAGAGAGAGAGAGAGAGAGAGAGAGAGAACAACGGAAACAAATTTGTCATTTCGTTAGACTTATATTTGTAACAAACAATAGATGCAAAAGGCTTTTTGTCACCAGAAATACAGCCAAAAGAGATGTTTTAAAATAATGTATTATATTATATCTACAGTAGAGTTACTTATAGATACTATATATATATTATACAGACATAGATATAAATTTATGTGTAATGCTGTTGTGTTTTGTCACACAATTGTTTGAATATACACAGCATTTGTAGTCCTGAGGAGAGAAATGTAAAGTAAATGCATTAATGTCTGAATCGGTGATAAAAAGGCAGTGGAAATGTCGTGACAATAGAGACGATGGAGACGATGGAGACAACAACTGGTGATCCGATTATTCACAGAATTATTCTCTTATTATTCCAACACTTCTTTCTTCAGCAATATATAAACCAAAATATAGTTGTCTTTTGTCATGAATGGCGCAAACATTAGATAATAAATAAATGCATCACTACTTCTACTATTATAATAAAAAATAGTGTATTGCAAAAACTTTTTTCCTTTTAATATACTTTATATAAATTTATATACAGTATATATTGTATATAATATATCTGTAAATGTATTATATTTTCCGCTTTTCTTTTATTGTTATTATACTATACATTGTACTGTATATCACTCTCAATGTGTGTTCCCTTATTTAAGGTCCCGTTTCTATATTTTTTTCGTTTCATTTCTCACTCATAACAATATCTATTAGATATTACATTATTTGTTAACATATATATATGTTATAAAAAACAAAAAATTCAGTAAAAATGCAAATCAATTTGTATTATCACATATTCACCAACACATAAAATGGTATTTTAGTATTTAGAAAAAATTAGAAATGAGACAATTTCTATGTAGTTGTATGTGATACTTACTATTATTTAATATATTATCATAATAGATAATAAGCATTACAATAAGTTAAAGATTTTATTTATTATTATATATTTATTTTGTTTAATAATTGTACAATAAATAAATAATTTATTTTTTTAATACTTTGTATTTTATTAAGCAATTTATTTTAGTAATTATTTATGAAATATGTATAATAATTAAAGTTATGTTAGTCTTTTTAAAAATTATTATTAGTATTACATTTTAGATTTATTTATTAGTTTGATTTTGTTAAAACTGTTAATTTAAAAACAATATTTGTTTTGAATCTCATTTCTATCAATTATATGCAAGAATTGTTTCAACAAGTAATCAAACAAAAGAAAAATAATTTTTATAGATCAATGAATTTCTACAAATTATTTTTTGTTATAATTTCTACATTTATATAATACATATATAATATATATTTGTAAGACAAATGAAAAAACAATGATTTAATATTATTTCTAAATAACAATTTAATTTTATATAATAGAAAAATATTTCAAGTTTTTTTTTT